CATGGGAGAGACGGGGGAGAGCGGTGGTGAACTAAGAGGGGGGTTGCTACTGTGCCCAAGGCCATACCCACACAGACGGACACCATATTGAAATTAGCAAATGGACTGCATAGTGTCGCTTGCTGCCCCATTTGCGGTCCCCTCTTCTCCGGGTGATATACAGATGCACCCAGTGAAGGGACATCACCGTTTCAAAGGGGCAGCGGGGTGGGGTATATGGTGCTGGGAGGAGGGTATAGGCCAATCTCCCCCTGTCCTAAAATGAAATGGGTCGACTCCTATTTATTTACAGCATGTTTTGCACTCATCCCATAACACTGTAAATTACCTGCGTGGTCAAGGCTCCTTTCTCAAGCAAGGAGAGAAAAGGACATAAAACATGTGATCTATACGATATTTAATTCAGGAATCACATATGATCTGTCAATTTCCATATATCATGCTTTATGAGTCATATTTTAAATACAAAATCACGTTTATGAATATAAATGCATGAATTACGAGCGGTCATATGTGTTATATGATGTACAATATGTCTATAGGACCCAGACAGAGTGTCTTGCCAATATTTATGAGATTTCTACAGTATATCTCGTAAGAGGATGAAGGACGGGTGATTTCCTTGCTGTGGTCTTAGGTGGTTGATCACGGATCTATTTCTCACATCCCGTGCCGTCTCATCGTGCTGTTGACTGTTTGACTCCCCGTTCATCTCTTTTCTGAAATGCAAATGACGTGAAAATGGAAACAAGGATGATCACAATAAAAAAACATGATGCATTGCATTTTATGACCTGGAATACTTCATGCAATTTATTGTTATAAAACATGTTGAGGTTTGGTTTGTTTGATGCAAGGAAGCTTGACACTTACTTGAACTTAATTATACGGCAAAAAAGGTAGCAATGGAGACAGTACTCTGTGTGTGTATGTGTGTGTGTGTGTGTCTCTGTGTCTGTGTGTGTCTCTGTGTCTGTGTGTGTGCAGAGAGAATTCCATCAGAGGGAACTCTCTCGGGACCAGACCTGGTCTCTAGCTGAAAAAAGGCAGGGCCCCCCTCCATTATGGCAAACAAGTGCATTTGCTTTAAGGCCAGTGGAGATTTCTAACCTTTGCTTGACATGCCGAAAAGGTCAGGCCCATCCGTGGTTTCCCTCTGGAGTTGAGCCTGACCATTTCCTCCCTGCTCCGTTGGACCCCAGGAAACCACGGTACCAACAAGCATAGTGCAGATAATCAGCAAATGACACATGACAAAAATTTACTTGAATCACATCTCACAAATTCTGAAGGCTTGGACAGGATATTTAGCAGTTTAATACATATTCAATTAATTAGGACATTAAAACCTATATATATATATATATATTTGGTTGTAAAAAATGAAAAATTATACATTATACATTTCTAGCAATTAATGAACTAATATCTGTTTTCAAATCTGCTTCAAAAATTCTAAAACATTCCCATAAAATATGAACAATCGCAGCTGCACACTCAGACGAAGCAAATGTCTTAATATAATTCAAAAGACAGGCCTGACCCACAGTAATAACACGGTAATTGTGTTAAACGCCTGTGAAGTGAGCATACACAGCACCCTGTGTGAGTTTTTCTCCATTTGATGGACGTATCCATGCTTATCAATGTTCCTTATCTCCCTTCATTATTTCCAAACCAGTGGTTAAATTGGAAAAGCCCATAAGAACATGTGAATACATGGCAGAGGCAATAAAACAGTAGGGAGAAGAGCCCCCCCACATCCCACAACAGTGTTTTCCTTGGGTGGAAGGAGATACATTCAGCAGATAGTTGGAAATATTTCTGCTCCCCCCACAGCTTCATATCAGTGAGCAGCACAGATAAAGATACAGTCGGGCAAATAAATCTCAAATGAAGGAACAAAACCCTTCACATGCAGTTATCTTGTGTGTGTGTGCAGTGTGTGTATACAGTTTATTACCTGCCCTCTCGCTCTTTCACAGCGCTTGTGTTCCTACAATGTTCAAGTGTTAGGGAACTCAAGTGCACTGATTTTAGCTAAAAGCACTATTTTCTCTGCAGCACTGGAGGGTCAGTGTGGTCTCATCCTAACAGGCATCCTGTGTGGCAGCGCCCTGGTGGTGCGCTTCTCTCTGCATCCTTGGGGACTTGTTCTCAGGGGATTTTGTGGGTTCACTTAATTTCTATAGAGCTTATCAGCTGAAATAGTGAAGCTTGTTCATGCAGCTGCTTCTGGAGGAGCAGAACCAGAGTTTGGCCCAGAAACATACTGATGGAATACAAGACCTGATATAATATTTCATTTCCTTTTTTTGTTCCAGATTTTTGTCTGACACCTGCAGCAGATTGATATCAGATCAGAAAATGGGGATTTAAACTGTACTTATGCCGAACATCTCGCCTTTCACTGTATGATTGCATAATGGTCTGATAAAAAATGTAACCAGAGTAATTTGACAAACTGGGACAAAGGTCCGCTGATGGCCATTAGGTTTTTTAGGACAGCAGCTCAGCCATGCATTAAGTGGTGAGGAGAGCAGGCGTGTAACCTGATAAATGCACTTAAAAACGGTGAAGATGGCCAATGAGAGGGCGAAATCTCAGATGGCCCGGTCTGTGTGCCTGCTAGGCACTTTGACAGCCTATTGATCAGCCAAAGAGAGTCTTGGACAGGGTCAGAGGTGTGGGGATGCATGGCTCAGATACTGCTAGTGGGACAGGTACAGGACAGCAATAACCAGGATCTATTAGGAAATAGATCTACTCCTGAGCCACTTACATTGTCCTTTTGTTGAAGATCAGACGTGTTGTTGACTGCTGGCACTCACAGTTTCCTCTGTGGAGATGGGTGAAATTTCTTCTCCAATATAATACACAACAACAATATAGCAATCTGTCTGTTGTTTGAAATTGATGTGACGTAACGTTTCTGTCTGGGACATTGATAGCCCACGGTTGTGAAAATGCCCAGCTCCTGTTATTGAATAGTAATAGGCTTGTCGGCCGGTGCCTCCAATTTCACAAATGGAGCAATAAATACACATAACAGAATCAGTGGAACAATAAGAATGCTCATAAAGGATGGTTGTGCCTCAAAAACAAGGAGGAGAGCGAAGGGTAGGGGAAGGAAGAGGGAAGAGGGGGGGTCAAAAGAAAATTTGACAAAGGAAAGAGATGAAAAGTGTGTGTGTGTGTGTGTGTGTGTGTGTGTGTCTGTGAGGGAAACAGAGAAAGAGAGAGGGAGAGAGAGAGAGAGATGGTGGCCCACTCTTCATTTCTGTGCCACAAGCTCTCCTGGGCTTTTGCGTGCTCCGTTTTCAACCTAAGTGTAATTTGAGCCCTGGGTTGATACAAAGTGTATGCAGCAGCTCTGTTCAAACCCAATCACTCACCCTGACGTGTAATCCTTTCCCTCACCATCATCAACGCTGCTTTGGGAATAATGAAACACACTTAAGCAATACACAGCAGTCATACAGCTGCGAGCGTGGCCGCATCTTGATGAGATGCCTCGTAACTCTAATGAAAGGTGTTTTGACCTGTCAATGGAGGTAAATGATTGCCTTGCTACTGTATCTGTGGGAAACTTATTGACGGCAATATCTGGTCCAACTGGGTGATTTGCATGAGAAATGAGGAGCACATTGCTTTTAAAAATACAGCACTTGGCAACCGTGCTCTATATTTTATTTGTGTGGGCCTCCAGATCTCCTTTTTCTTTTCTTTCATCCTCAAGTCATCTTGTCTCTTGTCTTGTGATGCCATTGTTTCCACGAAGAGGATTATTACAATTAATTGGTTAGCAAGACATTATTTCAAAAAGGGAAATTGGCTCTTATAATTATATAGAGATGGGAATACTTTAACTCCCTGGAATATCAGCTTCCCGAAATAATGGAGCTACAGCCCCTCACTTCCCCCACCTCGATCAGCGTTAGCGTGTCTGTCTGCCTGTTTCCTGTGACGGATCCATTTTCAACAGCTCCTGGCCCTGCAGTGGCTGCGGTTGATGGTTGGGTGGCCTGCGTGAATCTCTGACTGGCTTGCCTCGCTTACTGCCACCCATCTGTGGTCTGCTGGGAGCTCCGATCTGCTCTTTGTTCTGTCCCTTTGCTGAACTCAGTCAGTCGATGTGACTGGCCATAGTAGAATGGGTAAATACACTGAGGAGAGGGCAGGGTTAGTGTAAGGGTTGCTCCACTGGGTGAATGACTAAGTAGACACACTATAGTGGCGGTAAACACAGTAGAGAGCACATGTGTTTAGTACAGTTATTTCTTGCTCTGCATTAATAGCTTTTACAATTACACTATGGTTCTATGGTTGGCAAAGTCTGTCAGTCCATCACTTTAAAATATCTCAACAACTATTGGATGGATCACTCATGGTTCCGAGAGGTACTTGGGTTAGCGACACCACCATCTCAAAGTTTTTCCAAAAATATCTTCACATCTTGTTGATGAATTGGTACAAAATGTTGATTGATTCATTCAAATGTATGATTCCAGATGATGTCTCCTTGAGACTTTGGTGACCTCCTGACTTTTCCCATAGTGCTTCCATGAGGTTGGCATTTGTGGTTTTGAATGAAATGTCTCAATACCTATTCGATGGATTGCAGTGAAACTTTGCGCACGTATGTTCCCCACAGAAGGAATTGTAAACACTTGGATGATTCCTAACTTTCCACTTGCGCCATTGTGAACATTTTAATTTGCCCACTTATGACCAAATACCTGCAAAACGTTATACTTTTTTGTGTTTTGTGCTAATCAGCAAATGTTAGCATGCTAACACGGTAAACTAAGATTGTGTACATGGTTAATATTATACCTGCTAAATGTCAGCATGTTAGCATGTCACTGCATTAGCAGCCTCACAGAGCTGCTACCATGGATTTCTGCATTTACTGGTTGAATGTGATGTATGAAACTGTCGGTAGTTTACTTTACAGCTGATTTTTAGTTAGACCACAAAAGAATCACAGAGTTCAGGGAGTATTTAATTCATTGATCCTTTACCTTTTTGAAAATCAAAACGTAAAAGTTACACAGATATTGGTGATTTAACGATCAGAGATATCAATGTACACCATTGCCAAATGATATATTTCACACCATAAATACTCATAGCACAGAAGCAGGAAATCAGTTACCTGCCCCTGTCTGCAATTTATCATCAAGGGACCAATTCTGACACATTGATGTTCATAAAAACATACACCCGCTTTGTAACCAAAATGGGGGGGGGGGTCACACCCACTGATGACCAAGTCACGTGGTCAACGTGAAGCATGCTTAACCTTTACAAACAGATCTATGAAGAATGAATGGGAAGAGAAGATCAATAACTACAATTACAAATATTTTGGCAGGAGCACTGAGGGAGAAACAGTTTTTGATAAAAAACTTTGATGGCTCAGGTATGTCACAGACATGTGAGGATGATAAAGAGCAGAAAGTGTTGAATCAGAGAAATATTGACAATATAATAATGAGGTAGTAGTCAGCAGGGCGCTGCATACTTTATTTTCAATGGTATTTCGGCAACCTACTGTATTGACGCTAATATATTTACACATTTAGACACAGCTTGTAATGTAAGACATGTTCTCTTTTACTTAACACACTGTCGTATTGCAAGGTAAAAAGAAAAAAAGGGAGATAAGAGGACTCCCATTATTATGATTCTTATGGCTGATCATCTTGGGCCACTACAAAATTCTAGTTGTAAAGATTTTCTGCAAAAGTTTTCATTTATACTGCACTTTTATTGAAACAAGCACAAAAGTCTTTTATCAGTGGAGCAAATCAAATATAGTTGTTCTGATATACAGGATACATGTTTCTGATTAGAGGGATTTAGAATATGTCACTTAATAGTATACAAATTCTCCCAAATCTAAGTAAAAGCATGCCCTCAGCATGGTTTCAGTCAGAATTGGTCCCTGTTGTATTGCACAACAGTAAAATAACTCAAGTTATATTGTCACCGTCTACAGTGGAGCTTGTTAACTGGACAGCGGCTAGTTTAAGTTGAGATGATTGGGTGCCGGAGTAGGTAGGCATCCTCCATTACATGGCCAATCAGGCTGCTGTAAAAAAAGGCATGCCGGCTGCTGGATCAGTGCTAGCCATTGATATCGCAAGCATGGCGGCAACTCTACCCTACTGCAATGTCAGGGATTCCTTTGATCACAGTATCATATTGTTGTGACAGCGCCACAATTTATCACATCACATAAAATCCTTCAGTAGTATAAGCATTCGCCACCAACACATTCTCTCTCACACGGAGACAGGCGGCACGGCTCTGCTGGACTGGACTACAGTATTACTCACAACGTGGACATGTAGCTAAACACAGGGAGAAGGGAGCATGAGATCTGTTTCTCCCACCAGAGATCACACCTTGCACTGACACACTGTTGGGCTGCTGTTACCCCTTAGAGCATGCTGACACTTTGTTTCTTGCATAGCTATTCACATGTGCATGCTTGGGCATCCCGAGCTCTCCTCACAGATGCCTGTCTGCCTCCTGGCCAGCGGGAAGGGTGTTACTCTGCACTGGCCACTGTGTCAACATGGGGTCAAGAAGAAGTGTTCCACGTGTCTACTGTACTCCTGGAGGGAGGCCGCACAGACAACAACCTCCTGCTGGGTTAAAAATAAACCCAGTGTGAAGTGCAACTGCTCCCAGTCTGCACCTGCCATTTACCTCCGTTTGGTTGAAGCTCTATAAATGCAGGCACGGCTATTAAAAGACGGGAGGTGTCTAAAATGGCGAGAGCAGATGCTGGGCACCTTGCTCCCTGTGTGTGGGATGACTCTGCCACAGGCTTAAAGGGGCCCAAAATAGAGTGGTTGACATATGGGCCTCTGATTGTTTGAACATGGAATCTCCTGGACTTCTGCCACTCTGCATAAATCCTTTGATACTGCCACACCGAACCCGCTGATCATCTTTCACCTAGCCCTGAATCAGGTCATCTATTTGCATGCCAAGAGGCAATTTCCATGGGCTTAAACAATGACCAAATGTGGGGTTCAATGGGTTGCATGAACAGCACCGACATAAACCGCTACAGGAGAGGAGGAACACTAGTGTAACAGTGGTGCAGTGGTGTGTCCGACTGGTGGGACTGAGATACACAGGCAGGGTCTTCTAGCAACAGCAGCATTGAAAAGCACATGACAGATAGGAGGTTAAGCCTGGCTTCCCCACAGCTCCCTTTATTGCTGAGTTACTACAGAATAAGACGACTAATTGTACCTGCTTATGCTAGTTTGGTTAAACATGGGACCAGCAAGTCTTCCAGTCTGAGACAGATCCACAAAGATCACACGGCTTACTGCTCTGGAGAGGTATATCCAAGTACATTTAAACTGATAAGAGTTCACATTTAGGTAACAATTTTAGTTCATTTTTTTTTCCAGGAAGAGAACAAGAGAAAATGGCCACCAAGGTCACCAGACTTTGAACTGTACACTCAGTCTTCCAATAATAAATATATACATGTCCTGGTCAAGTCCAGGCAAAAACACAACTGTGAGACAAGTGAGTCTGTTTATGCTTGTTGACACCTCTGCTGTCTTCAGAACAAATTTAAGGAACTTTTAATTTTATGAAAAAAGAAACCTCTTTATCTTGTTATCAAGATCTGGCAACTACTCATTCTGAAGATGCTGAGGGGCAGAGGGGTCCTTCTTCATATACAGTATGACCACTGACAATTAACAAAAACCAAAAAAAATTATTACTGTACATAGTATTTCTTATATATTTTAAATTAATCTGCATCATTTTTATATTTACTTACTAATAACCAAGTTTTGCATTTGTTCTTTTTTTATTTAGTGTCCCAGGGTTCCAGGAGGAGGAGTGAGAGTGTCAGTCTCTGTCCTGCCTAGCACAGTCAGTGGGAGGGTCTCCTTCTCCTGAGTACCCTTAGCCTTGGTTCAAGTCACTTTCTGTTTCGCTAATGCAGCCCTCCGCCGTTGCCGTGGCCAATCAGCCACCCTCCAATCAGACCTTGGCCTCCAGCATCTCCAGGAAGAGTTTGTGCATGGGCACCTTTCCCTGCACCTTGATGCTGTAAAAGTGCTGCACAGCCTTGGTGGCCGTCTGCCGCAGCAGAGGCAGGGTCATGAGAAGCTTGCCCGCCCGCCGCGGGTCCTCCTGGTGCTGGCTACTCTCGTAGTCCTGCAGGGCCTCGTGGAGAGCGTCCTGAAGCTTCTGGACCGCCTCCATGTCCTCTATATGCATAGAGTCTGACGGGATGAGAGCAGAGAAAGGAGCATGAAGACTGATGGATTTTTTAAATTTAAAAAAGAAAGAAAAGTAACTTGTAAGACATGTAAGACACTGGTCATATAACAGGAGTGATGGGAAATGGATTTTTCTAAAACAAAATTAAATCTCATGATTGATCTTTACTGCTCTGTCAGTAGCAGTGAGGTAGGGAACACATTATCAGTATAACTCACACCCTGACAAGATAAAGAATAGATCATAAAAAACAAAAAAAAAACAACAACATCTGCTTTATTTTATTTATTTATTTATTCTTTGGTGGACTGGGCGGGACATTCATATGGCCCTTGACCACTGAGACTGAAAATCAATGTTATCCTCCAGGAACAATGGCATGAATAGCACCCAATCTCTGCTGAGTGAGTACACATTAAACACCTCACTGTTCCGAAGGATAGATTGTTTTCGAACAAAAAAAAACAAAGAAAGAAAAAAAGGGGGCTCCATTAGAGAATTGGACGCCATAAACAAGCCTGAGATGAATACAACACTTCCTTTCCTTTCAATTAATTTCCTTCCTACTCCCTCAAAGGGGTTTCTGACCATCAGAGTGGATGGGAAACAAATACTAATGTGTTGATCTTACTGCTAGATACAACAACAAAACCAGTTATCTAAATAAGCAATTTCCCTGTACATGCATTTTTGTCTTGTCTATATTCAAAAGAGGTCTTGCTTACTATTGTACTGTGAACAACAAAAACTGTGACTGCCTCAGCTTCAGTCAGCCGAAATCCCCTCCCTCCCCCTCCTCCTGGCCAGTTTGAGAGCAGTCTACAGTTTCAGTCTGGCTTCTCTCCGGTGTTTTTCGCTCCTATAACGCTACACTGCCACCGTTTTTTTACTGATCCTACTGTACATCATGTTACAGCACTCCCCTCTCATTCTCGCCTTTTTTCTGCTTCTGTCTCTATCTCCCAGTCTCTCTCAGGGACAGTCCGGGGTCACGGTTTCTCTCACTGGTTAACCGGTGTCTGGCACTCCGGAGGCAGCATGTCATTGGCTGCCTGACTCGTCTCACCTTGGCGGTGCATATTTTACCACACGGGACAATAAAAGGCAAAACAGATTTCAGACTTCGCCCCAAATTCATTGACTGGAACAACTGTATTCCCAAGACCTTGAGACATTTCTCACCCTGACGGTTTTCAAATCCACAGTGGTAAAATGAAGTAGGTCGTTTTGTAAAGTGAATGTAGGAGGGAGGGAGGTGAGAGGGGGAGGATGGAAGAACAAAAGGCAAAAAAGAAAAGAAAAAAAAATCTTAGATGAGGATGTGGTGTGACATAATTATCTCTTGTTCTTTTCACAGAGGCTGGATTCACAACCCAACAAGCTGCATTTTTACAAATCAAGCCAATATTTTCTTCTATTTTTCACACTCGCAAACACATTTTAGCAATAAACCTGATTTGAACCGGCTATAATTGAATGTTTTGCGGAGAAGGGGTGGATAAAGAGGAGAAAATAAAAAGCGAGATAGAGACATCTCAACAGATGGGCCGGAAAAGAGAGCAGGAGACAGCGAGCACGCAGCTTGCAGTCCTTGGAGGAGGGGTAGACTTAAAAAAACAACTTTGAAGAAACAATTTCCTCGCAATCCATCAGTGACCCACGTCGATCCGATTGATAAACTGCTAATTACAAAATCAATCGCTATGAATTTTCACAGCTGTCAGACAGAGGGGCTCCCGGGAGAGTGATCTCCCAGAGACCTTGTTCTAACATTCCGGACACCCTCCTCCTCCCTCGACCCCCATCTCTCCTCTCTCCCACACCCCACCTCCCTACCGAAGCTCTGTTGTCTGAAAGTAAAGGCCTACCATCAGCATTTTCATTTTTCAGCCCCGGACAAAACAAGGGAAAGCGGCCCAGTGACCCAGGCGTGCATTGATCAGAGCGGGACAGGTCCTGCCTCCTCAAAAGGAGCCTGTCAATAGCAGCGTGCCGTCTCGGCATTGGAACAAACGAGGCCTATCACTCCCTGATACTCATTCCATTCGACTTAACACATTTTATTGACAGCCCCTGTGCTCCTAATGAAATGCTAAATTTATCTCCCGTGGCTGCTGTGCCCTGCAGCTACTGTTATGGAGATAGAGAAAGAGAGGGGAGAGGGAGCGCTGGAGAAATACCACAACATGGAAGGTGTTCAATTAAAAAAAGCTCACTCCTCCATTCCTCTTTCCCGTACACTGCCCTTATCTTCTCTCCATCTCTCCATCTCACGCTCCAAACTAAAGGTTACACTGAAAAACTCCTGAAAAACTAAGAAATGTCATTTCTGAAACTGTGTTAGACAATACCTTACTGTTTCTGGATATTATACTGTGTAGTGTGCATTACTCAGAGGTCCAGTCAGGAAAAAGTGAAATATTCCGAGTGAGTAATACACTCGTAGAACATCTCTAACATTTTCTTCTGAAGTCTTGATTTTTTTTTTTAAATGAAGCTACTTCAGTGTATTTTTCATATACTATGTGTTTATATAAGTTATTTCAGTAGTTAAAAAAGCTAAAGGCTTCACTTACCATTATTGTGTATTTTATTTTTGGTCTGCATTTATTTTGAAAAAACAATATATGTTTTAGCTGTTTTCTGTTATATTAATAATAACACTAAATAATAATGCAACATTAATTATGAAAACTGAGTGGGAATAGTAAGATGTTTTTAAATAAAAAATAAATAACATTGGAATGAAACAGTAGTGGTAACATCCACAAAAGAGACTCAATATAAAATTAATTTATGTATTCTAAACCAATCACTGCTTTGGGACAGGTTTGTTCCACTGAAAGTAATTCAAAATTTTAAATGGTTATAAATACTGTTAAAATAAATTATTTATATATATCTGATTCATTTGAAAACGTAGGGTAACAGTGATATTTCTGTTGCATTAATATTATTAACACAATTGTTATTTTTATGAAATATTATGTTTGAAACAAATGACTTTAAATAGACTTATTATTGACTTGCTATTCTCAAATTTTTCTAACGTTAATTTAAAACATGCTTCAGTTTTCATTCTTATGCACATGAAATTTGCTTCAATCAAAAATCATGACACCATGAATGTTTTTATGATGCGTCAGTGTGCTGAAGACACCTCACCTGAGTTGGCGAGGGCGATAGCCTTGAGGGTGACGAACTCCTCCTTCTCCACTTTGAGCTTCTTGCATTTGCGGACCAGCTGCAAGATGGAGACATAGAGGTCGAGTAGGCCTGTCAGCCGCGAGTGCTCCTCGTCCATGATGTAGTCCTCAGCGTACACCAGCTCGTCCTCATACGGCAGTGAGCGGAACACGATGCTGAGGATGAGGATCTCCATCCAGGCGCTCTGCAGTAAACTCATCTGGTCTCCCAGAGAGAGAGAGGAAAAGCCTGAAAGGACAGAGGAGGAAACTGTATAAGGACAGGAGGACTGCATGGAGAAATAAAATATGTGTGTATGTGCGTTTATGCATTTCTGTTCCACGATTCCTTTATTAGACAGCATTAAAAAGTAAAAGAAAGTGTTTAGAAGTAAAACAACAGACAGCACTTTGAGATGATCGGTAAACCAAACAAGACTTGTCAAGCCCCGGTAGCCTGGAGTACATGCCGAGGCACATGTTAGCGAGTGGTGTTTAATTTTAAATGCACAGTGGAAGGTCCTCTTTGAAGCTGGTGTCAGAGCACTTGAGTGGGCTTTACTGTAAGTGAGGACAGTAAATCGGTGCAAAGGTCCGGGACACACAAAGCCATGTGGTTACCCCTTGTATCCTGTCACACTTCTATTGGTGTGAGGGGGATTAGCACCGAGACACATTCTCATTGGAGGGGTTGAGGACATGACATGCACTGTGTAGCGGGAGGAGGTGAGGACACACACACACACACACACACACACATACACACACACATACATAGCAACATACACATAACATGTGTCAACCAGGAAAAAGAGACATGCTCACATGTGGATCATGGCACCTATACGTATGCACATAAATGCGCACACATACATAGAGCACAGGGGTCACATGATTCAAGCCCAGCCTGAAGACCTGCTTAAACCCCAGGGCCTCTTCTCTAACAGCAGCTGAATGCGCTGATGAGCTTGGATGCCTCACACCGCTGTCATTTTCCTTCAGCACCTCTACATATGCTCAGAATAGAACATTAAATAAAACAAACTGCTAGATCCCCGAAAGATGAGCTGTGAGAAACTCAAACAAATTAAAGTGGGTAAAGGCAAAAAGAGAAAGGAAGAGAGAGTGAGGAGCAGATAGCCATCTCATCCCTTTTCCCTTCGTACTACCCTTCAGCTGTCAATAAACTGCCTGAACCCCCCACCTCCACCCCAACCCACCCCACACTCTTTCCCTCCATCTCCCCTCCTCCTGCACAGCATGCCTGCAGGCGGCCCATTCTGACGGCATATTAGGCTCTTCAGCTCCGCCCCTGATTAATATGATTGCTTTTACAAGTTTGCTGTTGCCACGCTACCTGCCACTGTGTGATTAAGAGGCGATAGATTACAGTATTGACCATGGCGCCCACTGCACCTATGCCCTATGTTTTTTTCTTAAATATAAATGATCTCACTGTGGTGCAGCCACCAGCCTGATGTTTATCTCCTCCTGCCAGGACGACATGAATACACACACACACACACACAATCACACACACACACACACGGCTGAGAAGAACAAGAGACATGATGAGGAAGCGTGAGAGGAGGTGAAAAAGAAACAGGAGGGAGAGAGAAAGAGAGAGAGAGACAGGCAGAGAGAAAAGAAGAGCCAGGGAGAGTAGTACCTGAGTGTTCAATTTCCCTTATCGTGGTGATGACCACTGCGGGGGAAGAGCTGGAGGATACATTAATTAACAGATTGTGATCAGAATGTGAGGGCCTTCACATTTTGAAGGGGAATCAATAGTCAGTAGAATAGAGTGCTAACAGAAAGGTGCTGGTGCCCGGCTGGACTGGTCAGAGGTCTAAAGAGTCCAAATTAGACCCAACAAAGCAAACTGCCGAAAGCACTCAAAACACCTGACTATTATCGGCGGAGGCAATAAACCATATTTTGTAAAGGCCTCTGCCATTACACATATCAAGACTGCATCTTAAAATCGTTTGTTGTGTTATTTCCTTGTCTGCATACGTGGCCATTAAGTTGGACAGAATGTGGACTGGCTGGAGAGGAATTGTCATGCAAGCGTGGACGCGGTCTTGATTGCCGCATCAGGTTGGCATCACAATCACAGGCAAGGCTTTGTCTAGCCTTTTAATGCCAAGGAGGAGTGAAGCGGAACTAAAGCGCTACTCCCAATGTGACAGCCCGTGTGAAGGCCTTGTTCAGGGCTTGTTGGAGAGGCTTTAGAGTTGTTCTGATACAGCAGACACCTCTCAGCCATATGCACACATGCAGCCCAGCAGCCTACAATTACCTTTGACGCTAAAAGTCCTTGAATTTAATCCAGTGTTGTGAGATGGAGAGGTGGTGTTTTTCCCCTGCTCCATCCCCTCTCTTCAGGGCCTAAATTATCGCTCCAAATGGGATCTCGTGTCGTTGCCTCGCCTTTTTCCACTCAATTTAATCGAGTAATGAAGTGACTTCCCGACTCCGCAGGTCACACTGCGCTCCGGCCGCCGCACTCTGAAGGTGGCCCGGTTAAGTGCCGTCGGAGTGGGTGATTTCCTCTAATGAAATATCAATATTTACATCTTCATTTCCAGCCCACTGCCTTGGTGGGGTTTGACCAAACATGACACAATATTGACCAAATCAGAGAGGCCTGTCTACGCGCTTGAAGGGCCTTTTCCACTCCACTGCTGAGTGAAACTGCAGATTTCTGTCTGAAAGTCCTTGTGGCAGGAATGCAGAGATAATAACAATGCAGAGTTTGTTTCTTTGTTCACTTTGACTTAAGCACCCTGCACATATGGCGATCACATGTCTCAAAGGGATTTTCACTTTCAATATTACAAGATGTAAAAAAAGGTCAATGTAAAATCTGTTCAGTTTAGACAAAGGAACAAAAATAATTATAAGGTGACAGAGAATCAGCACTACAGAGTAGCCCAGTGACCATTAACTTCATCAGCACACCATTATTTCTTGCTCACAGGGTGAAAACAAGACCACTAAAGACCAACAACGGACGCCAAAACCATCATCTCTCTCTTTATCTCCCCAAAAGCCCTTGGCTGTGGGCAGGAGGGGGCAGCCCAAACCCACAGACGGCTGCTTCAAACCTCTCGCAGAGATTAATCAGAGCGCCGCTTCATCTGCCAGAGCACAGGACGGTCCAAAATGAAATGCTGGAGATTTCTGTTGAGCTGGAGTTCATATTCTATTAATTTATTATTGTTTCCCTCTCCCCGAGGGCCATTAGCGCGGGTAATAAAAAGAGATGTAATTACGAGGCACGGTGGCCCCCTCCAGCTGCAGCCCCCTCGTAACTCACCCTCAATCAGACAACAGAGCAGACAGAGGGAGGGAGAGAGAGAGGGGAAAAAATTGTCAAGAGAGAGGGAGAGAAATGGAGGATAAAAGAGAGGAGAAGATATGGGCAAGAGAGGAGAGAGATAAGAAAGAGAGAAAGAGAGCAGCAGCAGGGAGCAAAAAGGGGACCGGAGCATGAGGGGAAAAGGAAGAGGGAGATAGAAAGAGGAAAGAGAGTAATTCTGGCTGGACAGGGGCTGATCTATCATGGCTAGCTATCAGAAGGACAAGCAGGCCCTGAAGACTTCTGCCCAGCGGCAATCTCACCTCAGCCAAGTCAAGTGCTCTCCGGGCTCCAGTTGGAGTAAAACTGCCCCTAACAGGACCCCAGGGGTTCAGTACGTCTTTTTTTTATATTCTAACCTCAAACTGAGCTGAATGATCATGCTGCCATAAGCTTATTCTATATCAAAGCTTTTTATTTTAGTTTAAAAAAAGAACAAGAAGAGGACAAGAGAATAATGTATGCACCTGTGATCTGTATAGATTCCTCTGATGTGGCAGAGTGACACGCTACGATGTAAGATGTATAACCAATATGGCAATGAAGGGCAATTTTGAGCAGCTTCATAATGGCGTGTGTGCTTGTTTGTGTGGATCTGAGTGTGTGTGCAGCTGCCGTCCATGATTCTTCTTGAATTTACATGACAGCGTCAGGAGGACCCAATCAATAGCAGCTTGGTAATAAATTGCTGCGCTTGACATAAATAATGTGACCTGAAGTCCAGTCGCATGTACAACATAAACAGCTCAGTTTGCTGCGAGCTTTCCCCGGACACTGATTTGATGACACAAAGGCTGTTTTTATATTGGACAAAATCCTGTCAATACAAACTAAATTGACTCGATGAAAAAGAGGTTGCCGACTGAAAATTCATCTTGTTTTTTTCAGCTCCAGCGCTCACTTTCAGGAGAGTCGGCTATCTGCCTTCTTTTAACGTGATAACCAGTCCATTATCCAATGGTAAGTGGCTGGGGAATGGGTGATTTGACCAGTAGCCTGTGAACGCTATGAGGTTGAAGAACGTTAAATACAGTAATCCCCTTGTTTTAATCTGCACCCTATGACCTCCTGACCCTAACGGAGAAGTCTTTAGCACCTCCCCAGGGTCCCACTGGCCAATACGGACGTTACAAAGACCAGGACGAATCAGGCTTTAATCATTGCCATAATTACACATAATTTATCTCCGCTGCCATCAAGCAACATTGCTTAATGAGGGATGTCGCTCTGCTGACGATCACTTAAAGGCACATCAGCATATAAAATGTCCTACAGTACATTCTGTATAAAATACAGACGCAAAATTCTACACAGATGCTCCAGAACCGGGATTTTATACAGATTCAGCTCGGCGACAATATGAACAGCGCGCACACAGAATTGTGATGCTAGATGTACCTGCTCATGTGTCACAGTAACTAAACAAAGCCCTCCCCCACCCTGTCTGGCAGATGTCCCTTTCCTGGCCCTGCATACTCCTGGCTGCCTGTCTGCCTCCAATACGCCCCCATCTCAATCTCCTTTTCCGCCTTCCTCCCGCTCTCCTGCCTGGGTTCAGGCCTCAGCATCCACCTGATTGCTCAATCTATCTTTATCTCCTGTGTTGAAGCCTACGTCAGAGGGTAAATTGAATATACTAAGAGCTGTCTGTTGGTGTCTATATTTAATAAAGTGCACTGATGAGGTGCTGATTTATTGCCGGGCAGTATTCACACTCTATTACAAGGAGATTACGCAGCTTGAGTGGGATCAGGCTGGCAACACAGTAAGTAGATTTCACAATTTAATGGCAAAGAGAAAACAGGAGCCCGGAGGGGGCTGGAGAAGGGTGGGCTGATGGGTGGGTGGGTGGGTGATTATGGTGGAGGGTTGAGCTGACACAAACACGACAACATACAAGAGGCGCGATCTCTTTTTAACATCGCTGCCTCCATGCTAACAACTAACATGCCAGGCGGTTGTCTGTCAAGTGCGGAGCTGATGAGCTAGAATCCAATAAAGCCCAGATGATGAATATTCCCAAAACGCCAGTAATGAATAGAACAATGCAAACACGACTATTTTATCAGATTAATCTGGTCTTGATCTAATAGCAAAAAATGCAATCACACATGAGATGGATGTTTATTTTTAAAAGTAATAATACAAAATCTAAAAGAATTTAGGAAATAAACATATTCCAAATGCTGTTTAAATATTTTACATTCTAGGGGGGACATGCGACATGCCAGAGCAAAAATATGTTTTATTGTGCAGGAGCAGAGCAGCACCCGCAGCAGCAAGTCAGTGTTTGCTTGGCCCTTTAGCCTTCTGAGAATTCCCATGCTGAAAACACTTGGGCCTGGGAAGCTAGGACTGGAGCTGACAAACACCAAACAACGAGTACCTCTTGTATAAGCAGCATGCATGGCAGTTTTTTTACATATGAACACATGATATTCCCACCGTGGGCGAGAAAGGATGTGGGGTGGTATGAGAGTGGGGGGGTGTCACCCTTATATCCCGCCGCTCTCGAAGAAGGCAGCAATGGCAAGGTGGTAAACAGGTTCTAGTGAACTGAAGCTCTCAGTATACTTAGTTCGTCCCTAAACCTTTTGGACACAGTAAGATGCATCTTTACAGGATGGAAGGGGGCCAGAGGGGTGGACAGTGGACTGCTATGTGTGTCAAAGGTTGTTAGCACCTTAGGAGCAACAAGCCATCTGTCAGCATCCCCCTAACACTGCTCCTAATGACCTTACCCCCCTCAGGCAACAGCCGTGTTAGACTCTGCTTCATGGTGCTATTTGGAGCAGTGACACTAGTGTCCAAAAGCTCCACAGTGATTATCAATTAATCAAAGGCAGATTCAGAATGAGGGCAAGGCTGCAGTCTGGCAATGGCAAACCTGTGAAATGGCTCTTGATATGTGACACTCGCCTTCAATATCTACCTCATTAAACTAACAGTAACAAATGCACCTGATCTGATTGATTAATTGTGTTACTATTTCATCTAAAATAATAGAAAAAAACTCTAAAACCTCAAAAAGCACTTTTTTTTAATATGCAAACTGACCTTTCATGGTATGCTAAATAGAGCCGGGATGACAAAGTTGACATTGGACCCTGTAAGGCAAAGATACCATCTACACTAATGATAGAGCTTTGATATCCTCCAATCGCCCTCCGATTAAAACTCAATAGGGCCACTCTACTCCACATTATGCCACTTTTGAAACGCATTTTCAAATGTTAGCTGAGAATAGAGGAAATTAAAAATCAATTGGGAGAAGGTAAGTGCCAATTTTCGTGACATTTAAATTGTTACATTTGGACTTTAGTTATTGGCCCATCTGTCAATGGCCTAATCAATGTGGTCTACTTCATAATGAACTGTTAATCTTTTTAATTCCATTGCCTAAGGCAGCAAAAATCTATCAGAATGCAATCAGCAGTTTTTTTCCCCCCTTGTTCCTTTCTTGTCCCGGAGCGGATAGAGGGAGAAATATTGTAGGAACCTAGCATGGTAGGCTGCCCTGCGGTACCGTTGTTGCATGGAGTGTTAGTGCATGGAGTCTCGCTCAACCAGTGAACCGTCTCTGATCAGGTTCAGCCATGTACAACTCAATTATGCAGCCATTTCATGGCCAGAGGACACCCACTGTCCTAATACAGACACCACCAAAGGGACAGACCATGCACTCAGCTGAAGTAGAGGTCTTTATCCTGTCAAATTGTCTTTTTATCTAAAAAGAATAGATGTGATTTTAAAATTTAAGTAAAAAAAATGACCAAATATAAAACAAAAGCACAAGTGTGATTGTGAGTATTTATACTGTGGGGAAGCAGATCAGAATAATCTACTTAAGGTCTACCATCTCGCAGGTGCAGCACATGTTTAGTGCATCCGTTCAGTTCCAGGTACTCGGAATAGACTCTCTGGCTTACTGCCTCAGGTTTTGGGTTAAATGATCATTATCGACGCATTTGGAATGACAAGCCCTCTGCCGCAATCTGTGGGGCAAATCCCATTAACATTATGAATCTATCCATTGTACAATACGTGTTAGTATAATCTGATTAACAGGGCTTCAACACTATGACACACAAAATCCGAGATGGAGTGTACACATATTAAAATGATGATGCACTCCAGGATACAAGTTAAAACCTTTAACAAGTGTGGATTGGTATATTGACTACACTTGCTTCAGGTTACTCAGTGGCCTCAGATGACCTAGTAAAAGATAAAAAGACCACAGACACTCTTTCTCTTGCATCTGTACATGTGTGTCTTAGTGAGCAATACCTACATGCTTACACAGTCTGTACTCAGCAGCACAGGAATGTCTCCTTTTTGTGCATGTCTGCAACGCCGGTGTAATTTTTGGGTCACAACGATGAGAGTGTGTTATGGGGTCAGTTGTGATACAGTCCTGACTAAGCTCCTGTTAAACTCTCTAAGTGCTGACCATGCAGGGCCCGTGGGGAGTGATCCAAACAGTTTAGATGCGCAAGGGGCTGGGGCTGAGGCCAGGGGTTGAGAGCATATCCATCTCTAATCTCCTTACTATCAGATCTGTACCTGATTAATACCCCTCCTTCTGAGAAGTACTCTAATACCTTTTCAGTACAAAATGCACCTGCCCTACCTGAGGTCAGGTAGAGTCCACTTCACTTTACTGACAATAAATTAACCTTTTAAATCTAAAATAATAAATAGATAAATATGAATTAGTATTTAAATGTATGTTCTGAATTAAGTGATATAATGCAAAGCATGCACACACTTGTGTATGTGTGTGTGTGTGTGCATCAGTGCATCAGTGATGTCGCACATTTCCTGCATGCTGACAGCTCTGTGCCTGTCCAAGATATGCTGATGAGAAAAAGAGGTTATGGAGGTGCCGCTGAGGGACACAATCATTTAGTTTGTTACCCCTCCATGCCTACAGCACTGTAATGTTATAGAGTTATGGGGGTCAAGCTCAAGATCAAGGAGAATCTGCCTCGGTTGCAAAAAAAAGAGCGGCTAAACAATGTGTTCTCTGTCAAAATCAGAGGAAAACTCTTGAAGGAAGCAAAATCTCTGCTGACGTGAGGTGCTGTATCCTTAATTCAACAGCCTCTTATAACCTAACACCTCGTCTATCAGAATGCCTATGGGGCAAGGAAGAAACATGATTATGCCCATCAATAATTCAATGTATGTGTACTTGTGTGCGTTCGTGTGTGCATGTGTGTGTGTCTGTGTGTTATATGATGTCTTGTTTGATTGGGCAGGTCCCCAACTTCTAAATGTCCCTGGTGATTACAACACACACTGGCAGTGTCCCCCTCTCCATTCAATGCAGGGGTTTTAGATGCACTCTATTGATTTGTTTCTTGCACAGCTATGTCCATTTTGCACCCCCTCCATCCTCCACACACCCTGAGGCTGTATGAGCTGCTGTCATTAATTTTCTATGTGTGTGCACGCATGTTTATTCGTACAGAGTGGGTGTGAGACAGGAGGCAGGGAAAGACAGAGAAAAAAAACAGCAGGCGGGTTAAAAAGAAAGAAAGATGAAAGAAGACAAATAATTATTTGTTTTATACCTGGGATGTGCTTGGCCCAGCCGATGATGACCACCAACTCGCGGTCAGCCAGGTCGCACAGCGTGGTCAGAGCCTTGATGTCGCTCTCCGGCATGGTGGGGTCGGGCATGGCATAGATCTTCTCTGGCTCCGCCACCAACAGGTGAGACACTATCTTTGTGACTGAGGATAGAGGAGGAGGGGGGTGTCAAAGCAAACCAGAGGTCAAAGGTCATATCACTCCAAAGCTCAGTGAGGCACAAAGATGCACCGCACTGATAAACACTGGTGACACATGGTAGAATACTGGTCTCGCTTTCGTAGTTTCTTTCTCTTTCTCATTATGCAAACTAATGGATGGAGCTTGAATTTGTACGAGTGAAATAAAGGCACTGAAAGCTCTTATCCGTACAGAATGCATGCGAGTGGGAAAAAAATGTATGTGTGAAAATGTGAGTGTCCTCGAGCACTCTGTCATTGTTTAATATCGGTCATCTGCTCGTAGACTTATCATAATACAGCGAGTGGAATAATAGCTGGACTATCTTTCTGACCAATGAACTCTCAACTGTCCAAACATGGGTGAGACCGTTTTACCAGCTTTACCTGCGTGCTGGCCAGGCAGAGGAGGGGCGGCGGCGGAGGGAGACAATGGGTTAGTGACGGAGCAGTACTCACGAGGCTTTTTGGTGGGAGGGGGGAGCGTCAAGCCCAGGTACGGGTTGTTTTCTGAGTCCAACCTCCGCTTGTACTTCTGTCTGCCCCCTCGCACTCGGTCCAGGCGAACCCCTGGGTTAGAAACGACAGGAGGGACAAGAGATGAAGAGAGTGTAGTTTTTCTAGACTAGATTTAAAGGGATATCAAATACATGAAAATTAACTAGGTCAAACAAAAGCTAATAACAGTAGTAAGAATGCAAAGATACACAAAAGAAATCTCTCCTCCGTCTTTTACAACATATGTGTATTAGATCATGTCAACAGTAGTGAGAGTGCTGGTTCCTATCTTGCATGTAAGCACTGTAAAAGGCATAGTGGCATAAGTGTGTGTCTCTGTGTGAGCATGCAATCGTGTGTGTGTGTGTGTGTGTGTCTGTCTGTGTGCGCGGATGTGTCAGAGGCACGGCTGCCTTCCCATATGTGGTCCATGCCTGGCTGGTCTACTGTGACACAGCTGAGCCCAGAGCAGGTCTAAACATATGAATATTTAACGCAGGGTCAATGATCTCACAGACTGGCCCTCTAATTATTTAGCTTTTGGGGTGAGGCAGACTGCATACTAATTAGCTTGCCAGCTACATGCCTCTTTGCTTGTGGGGGTGTGTGTGTGTGTGTATGCTTGTGTGAGCTCAGGTGTGTGCTCTTCGGTATCCAGAAAAAGAAACTTAACCAGCCTACAAGCAAAGACATAGTCCCACACACACTGTACAAAACATCCGCTGTCATACTGCAGATAGATAACTACGTATTGCTTTCCCATAAAAGACCCTTATTTCACCCCTCTTTCACTGGAGTAGCACTGAGGCCTTATCGCCCCCAGCCACAGCTAGGGGGCCAGGTTGCACACTGATACTGTAAATGTCAAGTCGGCCTCATCATAACATAAGTTATTTATTATCTCATTATTTGATAAGAATGTTTCCATTTGGATGTCTTTTCTATTCTATTAATTTTCAACATAGTTAAAATATTTCATCTACGCTGTTCTATTTATTTGATACCACCGGGAAGGTATTTGGTTATTTAATGCACTTGTATGCAAACATTTATATCCCACATCCCCATATTTGGCCCAGCGTGTCACCGCTACCGCGCAGCCTAAATATCCCTGATATCTTAATCCTGTCAGGAGGGAGAATCCCTTCAATTTAGCTTGTATGCATAATGTAACCCCCCCTTGCCTCAAACAAATTTAATACTAAAGGGCGGATGAGAAAAAGGCTCAATGAAATGCTTGCGGTGGAGGAGGAGTTAATTTGTCAGCCGCCCGCGTCCTCTGAGCGGACAACACCTGCAGCCAGAGCACTTCCTTGATGATTTCATCACTTTATAACAGGGAGGACGGTGTCAAACCTGGGCATTGTGTGGCCACTGCAAATGAGCCTAATACAATTTGCCCATCAGCGAGTGCTCTTGGAGGGGATGAGTTTGGATGTGTCCCATGCACGGTGATTGGAGGTCGGTCGGTGAATGGAGGGAGGGGGGGCAAAATCAGATGATGTAAGATAGACGCGGTGGCTTTCATTTAACAAAGAGGAATTCAACAGTGGATTTATGCAAAATATCTTCTTGATTTTCCCCACTCATCTTACATGGCCATAGCACCTCTCCCTCACGCTCAATACATGGGGGAGGGAGGGGTGGGGGTCTAGTAAACATGTAACATCATATAACTGTAGAATAGAGATTTTTGCTACTTATAAAAATTATTTGATTCCCTAGAAACACAAATCTGATTAGGATTGTCTTTCAATTTCCTGACACTGACAACCTACTAACCTAATTACCCCCAATTCCCAACAGAGCTTCATCCTTCCCAGCAACCACCAGGGAATCATCTGATGGCAACTACCTGTACTTTACACACACACACACATACTATGACAATTTCATTTTTATGTGTAACATACAGAAAGATTTCTTTCTGTGAAGGGTCTTCTTGATAATAGTCTTTTCACACCTTGTACATGCTGCTCAGGTTTGAGTGCTTAACTTTCTTACAATTCAGTGGAGATGGTACTGTCACTACTGTAGGGATGGAAAATTCCTCTCATTGTCAAACGTGATGTCACCCCTTTCTACAGTTTCTTCCAGCTCTCCCGATGAGCTCGGCCGCTGCCAGGTGGCTGCGCTTCTGCTCTCCATGATCCTCTCTGCTGGTTGAGTCATGTGGCTGTGTCAGCCAGTGTAAACCCAGCGATGAAGGTAGATGGGTGCCTCTTTTAATTAGAACAGTCCTGGCCATAATTAACAGATGCTGACAGGAATTAAAGCTTGGCACTAACCTGTCTCATTTTACTGTCCAACAGGGCCAAATAGAGGCAGAGAGGAAGAGAGAGTGATTAAGAGCAGCTAGACGGATTCATTCACTCATGCTGTCGGGCACTATGGCTAGGACTTTATAGGGGCCTTTGTGAGGTTCATATGTCCCCTTGGTGGCACCCGAAGCTTTAAGTGGTCTGACTCAGATCAGTCTGTTGTGCTCCCTCCAAAGTAAACAGTAGGTGTGTCTATAAATGTGTGAAGAGAGTTGACTACCACCTCATCCAAAGTTATCTCACTGTTTTATGGCCCACTACACAGTGCAGCGAGAGGGTAGCAGTGGGTGAGCTCGGGTATCATCTCTTCAAAGCAGGGTTCAGGGGGAGAGGGCTTTTGGCCAAGGCGGCTGGTATTTGTGCACGGATTAACGCAGGGCCTCGATGTGGGGGCTGGGGCCAGCTGACCTAGGGCTCTTCTTTCTCTCCAAAAACAATAATAATCCCCTTCAGAGCACACTCCTACAAAAGGGCCTGTCTTCACTCACTTTGTGTGGCCGGCCATGGTAGGGGCCCTTATTTTGAGTCCCTCACCTGTTCTGGGTGTCCCTCTCTGGGGAAAGTGTCAGGATGTCTGGGATGGTTGGCAATGCCAAGGGGGGCTTAGGCGGACCCTATTTTAGCTGGGAAAATCAGAAGGCCACATGGCAAGGCATGGTGAACCTTGCCTTTCAAGGAAGCCGTCCCGCTAAACTGCCGTCAGCACTATTTCAAAGGCCCACTGTTGCCAGCTTTGCATACTTGTAAGTGTGTTGCAGCATTTTTAATCACGAGTGGTGATGAGCGGTGGTAGCGGAAAAATTGTCACGTATTGCCCCCTCCCCATCTGCTGACCCCAGGAGCTGCCATACTGAGACCCTCGTCACATGCTCCATTTACAGGTTAGCTACAATATCGCCAGTGAGCTCACATCCCTGCTCATACCGCTAATTGAAGAGACTAAATGGTACTTAAACTACACTTTTGACTGCTCTTAATTACAGTATCCTAAAAAAAAAACATAAATGAGGCTTTAAGCTTATTTAACTTACTGCACTATTGACATTACTGCATGTGAAAGCAGACTGTATTTATCTTACTGGTGTAGACAGCCTCCGACACATGTGGACATTTACTTACATGTCTAGTATTTCAGGGCCTATGCATGTGAGTAGAGTGTGGTTTGTGTGTATGTTCTGTATTTGACTATGACGCGGCTATTGTGGGATGTGGTTGTTCTCTGCATGCCAGCCTGCGGAACAATGAGAGGTGTATTGTATATCAGCACAGACACACTTTGCTCCTTTGTCCAGCAAATGTTCATGATGGTCACACAGTTCTCTTACAATAACACAGGATACTTTCTGCCTTAACACACAGCACTGTTACACAGTAAGGACAATGGAACAAAAAAGACATTGTGTTTGGTCAATGATGCAGATGTGTACATACAAATATAGATGTAATTTCACAGAAATAAAGTGTTTTTCTGCGCTGGTGTGTATGTGGAAGAAGTATCTGTGTGTTTGTGAGCAAAGGAAAAAGGATGTCTGTGCGGAGAGCAACTGCCACTGAATGATGTCAATGTAATCTCTCAATAGTATCTTGTCTTCTCTCCTGCTCTAAGCTCTGATCTGTTTCCATTGATCAGAGGAAAAACCTGTTGCCCCTGACATTTGATTCTTCTATTGATCACTTCCTCCTTTATACAGTCAAGGGAAAGTACAGCGACTCAACACAGGGTTTAGGCAGGTCTCTTGTAATCAGACTGCTGATCTTCAAAGACCACAGTTTGAGATATGAATGTTCTGATTGTAGCTTTTGTGTTTGCTCTGTTGATACTGATATCCTATGAATTTTACTAGAGTATAAATATTTAACCTAAATTTGCTCACAAGATGCCTAATATTGTTATTCTTTCAGAGACAGTGATGGATTAAATCGTCTGATTCATTGGGGGGCAGCACTGCACTTTGTAGGAGCTGTAAAGTTATAATTAGGTGATTTTCCATTGAGACACAATGTGACCTTTCTGCAGTAATGAAAGTAAGTGGCAACCTCAGTCACATGAGCAGTGGCCATCTCCACACCCTGGGCCTGAGCATGGCGTTGAGCCGACGGCTTCATAGAGCTTACAGTGGACACAGACCATGTGTCTCTCTTTCCATTTCATCTTGGTGACACTTTAAAGTGCTGGGCCTCAAGGCAGAGCTTACGCGGAAATGCACTTTACATCTCTCTGTTAATCATGACAAGAGCTTTGAATAATCTTTATTGCAACAGAAATCAGTTAATTGAGAGAGATCTATGACAACACCTGCGCAAGACTTCAATGCGCCTGTGACAATAGTTGCAGTGGGGTGATGACAAGCGCTGCTTAAAAGAGGAGGGTCATTCTTATTCTTGGGAATGTGCTGAATACACGGAAGTGTGCATTAGAAACACAGGCTTAGCCGAAGTCTGCATATTTGAGTTTTATACTCTTTTTACTCTGACCTGACACTGGTCATTCATTTATAGCCACAGCTACATATTTTTGTAGTCTCTTATTCTCCAAGATGATATATTGGCATAAATTTTTCATCAGATAGTAATGCGATTACTCTGTCTTTCTGGCACTGAGGCTTTATCTGGCTGCATGCAGTCCAGGGGATTCTGTTACTGCGTGGAGATCCATACAGGCTATGACTCTGGCTTCAGGTGGCGAATGGATATATATGCATCCATAAATCCCACTCTCCAAAGAATAACGAGGAGAATAATGGTGGGGTATATATATTGCACAGAGTTTGACAGAACTTAAAAATGGAAGATTTTACAGAATTTCATTTGTCAGAGCTTCTATCTGACAGTTTTTATACCACTTGTATAACCATGAGGAACAATCATACTTTCCACAACACAAGTGCTACCTGACCCATACTCATCAGCACTTGAGGGAAACACGTTTCCTTACAGAGTCCCTGAGCTACTCCTACAGGAGGCTTGAATAAATATAACACCGCCAATTCACCCACAAGCCACACATCTTTCATTATTCATTTGTCTGGTCGTTTTGGAGCAACCAACAACTGAGAAAGAGAGAGGCAGGTGAGAAAGCATCCAGGAATGCAATGGGGTAAGGAGAAAGGATAGGTGTCTCCCCCCGGAAGAGTAGCCAAGCCTCGGGGTCTCAGGGGGTTCAGTCAGTGGCAATAGGGAGGGAGGGAAAGGGGGGGGAAATCCAGCCAGACAAATCCATCGGAAGCATGTTTAATTGTCACTGAATTCCCTGCTGGCGTGACTTTAAAAAAACATCCACAGGAAGAGAGCTGAGATGTTCGGAAAACATTTAGTGGATCAATATGCCGGGGAGAGCTGAGACTGTGCCGAGTGTGTGCTCAGGGACCTGGCCTGAGCCTTTCCAGGCGGAATACTGTTACATTTCTATTACTCAGACAGCAGGATCAACCTATTCAGCATATTTCTGTCCCCAGCTCAACTGCACATTATTTACCGCTGTGTGGCTAGGGGGAGGACAGGGGGCTGGGAACTGTTGTCTCGGCCAACCAGTTGTACTGTACGCATCTCTTACTCTGTTCTGTTAGGAGAGAAACAGTGTGGGACTCATTGCTGAAGCAGTCTGGGACGTAACAAAACAACTATTATGAAAACTTGCGTGTGATGCTACAATATTCCACTGGCAGCTCCCTTATCAGATCAGTTGTGGTTTCTTTACTTGCATGAATGTTACATAAAAGTTATAAATCAAAATACGTACAGTATGTGTATCTGTGGGTGTAAGAATAATAAAAATGTTCTTACTCTTCTTACCTTCTTTGAGCATCCCCACTTTGAGGCATTTCATGAAGCGACAAGCCTGACATGATTTGCGTCTCCGTTTTGTGATCTCACACTCATTTGTGGCAGGACAGCTGTATTCTATGTTACCTGAGGAGAAGAAGAATGAGACCATGTTATCAACACAAAACAAACACAAAGGCCAAATCAATTATCATTTAAAACAAAATGTTTGTGGAAATATTGAAATATTGGGTAGAATGCAGGTAGAGGTAGAGGCATTTCACCAGGCACTGAGAACCTAATGGTAAATTGGTTGCTGTAACTGATGTAGTGTGTCAGATGGTCTATAATAAATCATCTTTTCGCCAACCAGGCATGGGCACTTGTTAATCACATGGATTCCTATAGAATCCATTTCTGCAGTGTGCAGGTGTTTCAGGTGTTCTCCAGTGAGTACAGAACCTTCCAGCACTGAGGGCCATGGCAGGAGGCGAAGCTGGGGTAAGAGGTAAAGGGTGGGGGTGTGGGGCAGAGGTAAAGCTACACTAGTCCTTGAGGACCCATCAGTAGACGCCACCCTGGTCCAACAGTAAATTGGCCTCATTAATTCTGCGTGTGTCCCCTCCGGGCCCCGGGTGCAGGCCACGTCCCCCTGTGCTCAGAGGGGCCTGCTACTGCCTCAATAGCAGGCTAGAGAGCCAGACATGCTGCCCCTGACCACTTTACATAATACTCCCGCAGACCCAAACCTGTTGTTACCACTGTTGCCATTGTTGACTATTTACATAGTGTACAGGCAGGAGGCCTTATGCATTATTCAACTGCAGCGTCTGATTCCAGGACGGAGCAATGAAAAAGAGTTTCATTGCTACACAATAAAAGAGCCGGTTCTGCTCTACTCTAGCATTAGCAAAAGAAAGGGCAGGATATGTGAGGCAATTCCTCCGCTTCTGTCTGATTCCCTACATTTTACTGTATTCAGGGGTTTTCAATAAAGGGTTTCAATATAATGGTCACTTCAGCCTAGGAATTTGAATCATCCTCGTTTTGAATGGGCTTTTAGTTTTAAAGCTTTTGACATTGGTATTTTTCTTTACTTTTCTTTTAACGTAGGGTTTATGTCTTTGTAGGTATAATGAAATAAATTGTTGCTTAATATAAAAATCTAATTTAATCCTTATTATTGCCTCAATATTTTTCCTCATCCACTAAAATAGATGTAAGTAAACAGCATGTCAGCATATATATGCTTTCTGTTGAAACTGCTAAACACATGTACGGTGCAGCAACCTCTTTAACAGAAGAAGTATTTGACAAAAATCCACACAAACGCATTAGGATTACATCCCAACATCCTGTAGCTGCTCCACAGCTCTGACCCTCACTCCATATTTCTGCACAGAGAAACAGAAAGCTGTGTAATATTCCACTGGCGTTCTTCCACTAGCCCTCCAACATCCTTTGACAACTTATGCAATTATGTTAACATTATTGGACAGATCAAGTGGAGGGTCCCAAGATGTTACAAATAATTAGAAATTCCTCTTTATATCTGGGTTAGAAATCATTATGCTAATTCTCCTCATCTCTTTGGGATTGGGGTAAATAAAGGTGTGAGGGAAGCGGCTGATGAGCTCTGATTGTCTTTCCTCTGTCTGTTTTCTCTGTTGTCATAGCAGAACTAGACCATAATAATCCTATCCATTTCCCATATGCTGGGAGGAGGCAATCAGTGCCACCCTACGCTGGAATCAATTCATGGAGGTCTTTTTGGTTTGCGTTTCATTATACACTAACCAATCAGCAATTTGCTGGGATGTAAAATACTAAATACATTTAAAAAACATGGGTTTTGATTGCACATCTGATCAAATCTTTCTCTCACTTTATTCACTTGATCATATCATTCCAAAAACAGCAAACTGCCACATGTGCATGTAATGTAGCAGGTTTGCTTGCGCGGCCCAAACCCAGCACAGCTGACCCTTTGCGTCCCCGAGGACGTTTTGTTTATGGGGGTGTTTTTCTCTCCTCTTCCCTGCCTTCCCTTCCCTTCCCTTTCTCAGGGCTGCCAGAGACACGTGCATAAACCACACCTGGTGGCTAACGAAGAGAGTTAGCCCTTTGATATCACACACTCCAGAAACAAAAACAAACATACACTCATACACTGCTCTGTCCACCTGTCCTGTCAAGCCCTCCATGCGTCTGATGTTCTGTCGGAGGGGGCTTAACTCAATGCAGAGAGAGGGGTGGATTAACTAATTTTTCACCTCTACATTGGGGTTATATTTAGGACGAGGAGTGTTTCAGTATCAATATATATACAGTAAATCCCATGTCAAAACATACCTAACACCTCTTAGATGTTTTAGAAAAATATCCAAGAAATGTTAAAATTAAAGACATCTAAATGCAAACAAAAGTGTAGCCCCACAACCAAAAATTAAAACAAAACACTGGAACTTTCTATGACTCCCTAATTTGATTTTAAGACTCTTAATACACACATAACTGAAACCTCTAGAGCTAATTATAGTATCTGACGCTGTTAAATATTTGTTTGCATCAGTAATGTTGTTAGACACAGTGGTGACTAATTAAAATTTTGCTCAGTTATCTTAGTGTCAAACACTATATTTATGCTGTATGCAAGCATACATGTATCGTATGTGGTTAATTAGACTGGGTCTCTGTAATCGTTAAATAAAAAAATACAGATTTATATTTATGCATTTAACTTTTTACTTGGAATAGAATAGGCATTATAATTATAAGTTGTATCCATAAGTAAACTGACTGAACTTAACTGAAATTAACCGTATTTAACTGACTTTGTGCTTTGTGGGTAAAAAAAAACAGTGTTCTCATGAACAGTAGTCAAACAAAGTGTCACTGATTTAAATGGGAATTTCTAGTTACAGTAGTTTTGATCATTGACATTGGGCACACCTATAAAATGTTTTACAGTAATCTTGTCATTCAGAAATGATGCCTGGAAATCTTAGCTTGTAGAGTAATAGTATGGCCAGTTTCACTTTCAGAAATGAAGCATACTGGCGGGAACCCCTTTAACCCGAGGGCCATGCTCCGGTTTATCTGTCTTTACAGAGGTTATGGTATGGTTACCAATAACATTACAGAGTGAAGGGAGAAGAAAAAGATTTCCCTCCTTCTTCTCTTGATAAGTATCTGTCTCAATCTATTTTATGGCTTTTCAGGACCCATGCCAGGGCACAGAGGGGAAAGTCAGGTCTTGTAAGTAAATTACAGTAAAATGGCAGGTATTTCTCATCAAAATCTAAACTGACTTTTACAGGCTTACTGTCAAGGTCTATTACTTCATATAAAAGAGGGCCACTGAGTTCAGTTGGTTTTCAGGCAATTTTACACTTGGGTTCAAAATGGGAAGAAAACACGGTTCAATAAGAGATTTATGTTTTTGATTGGTGGGGCACGTGAGGAGCAGGAATGGGGGGATGATTAGGGAGCAATGAGAACAGGGGTATTTCTGGGATGGATGGAGATCCAGGTTGACATTAATTTGGGCCTGGCCTTGACTAATGTAACTATCTCCACGTTAGAGTTCAAGGGGCTTTTCACTGGATGAATAGGTGACACAAGATGGATTTTCCATCCGCTTTTGTTGAAAAGGAAAGGGTATCAGCTGAAGAAGTGCAGGCAAGAGAGGGAAGTAAGATGCGTTTACTCTGTCGATAAATGCCTAAATTTATACACAAAGTCAGAAAATTTTAAATACAACTACATTTAAATATTAGACATTAATATGTTTTAAAAAAACTACACTTTTTCTATCGAGAATTTGCTGCTGTATCAAAATAAAATAGTTAAATAAAGTGAGCACAAGATGATAAAGGAACTGTCATGTACATGGTTAACATTAACTTAGCATGTTGTTTGCTCTAAGTGCTATAGAACAATGTGATAAAGGGCTGGAAAAGACAGCTCCTTTGTTTTCCTCTCATTAGAGAGGGCCGTCTCACACTCCACCCTTGACTGCCTCGTTATTCCTTTAATTAATCAGTTCTCATCAACGGCACCCTCTCATTCTTTCAAGGGCTTTACATTCTGCTATTTACAGCCTCCATTTTCCTCCAACAATCCTGCATGTGTTTCTTTTATCATTTGGTAAGGATTTCACCTCCCCCAAAAAGTCTGTGCGTCCTCCTGCCTTCTCTGCCTGGGACCCCTGTCTGATTATTATGCCATTAAGCCTCTCCTCCTTTCCTCTGAAAGAGCAGCAGGGTCCCTCTCCAATCTAAAGAAGTCCTGGGTTTTTTTCCCCTCCTTTCCCTGAAATTACCCGGCGACGCGTGCCTGAGTTTCTAATTGGCATGCCCGTCCCTGGAGACGGCCCCCTCCCTTCTTCCTAATGAAAAGCCTCGGCCTTAATTACACTTTCCAAACGCTGATTGTTATTGACAAAACTCCTGTGGCTCGGACAAACGACGGCAGATTAGCTCCATTACAGGCAGCCCTCCAAGAAGAGAAAGAGAGGGATTTCAAATCGACAATGCAAAGTGAGGGGGAAAAAAGAGGGGCTTTCAATTTTTTCCATGTACCTTTCTCTTAATTGTTTGGGCCATTGCTCCACTTAAGATGTCTCTTTCTTCACTGATGCCTCTTTTCCTGTTCCATTGTGTTGCCGTCAGTGTACTTTTAGCGAGGGGACAAAAGCCCAGTTATGTTACTTGAGAGAAAATGTTCATCTTTTGTCAATAGACAGGATTGCTGATGGCAGCATGGGTAAACAGGAGGATTTGGCCTAATGCTTTTGTTTGCCTGCAAAAGGTACATAGACTGTCTAAAGCTGATAGGGCTGTAAGGTCCAAAATCAACACCTATCATCCAGACAGACAACCTGCTCTCCATATAATGCCTGCAATCATTTGCTGATGAAAATGTACTAAAAGCAATGGATAGAAGATGACAGACTCATTTTGTTTAAATGTCAAATTCCTATTTTTCTTCCACTCTTACTCATCTCTTTTCACCATATTCCAATGCTTTGGCTCATTTTACCTATTTTATCTAGTTTTTCACTGCATTGCACTACTAAGCCGGCAGAGCTTAGACCTGGGCAGCTGTGCCTGTTGTGCAGATTTTTTTTCCAGGCTCAACAATATCTCCGTCTTCCTGATTAATCTGGAGCAGAGCGCACAGTTTCACAGTGGGGGGCCTTTCATTGCCTCTCTAATGAGAAGCTGTGATACATCATGCCTTGCAGATAGCCAATCGCACCCTAGTCCCCAGGCACACACATACACACACACACACACACACACAAACACAAGACAGAGGAGGAATAATAAAGCACGTTCTCTAAGCCCCCAAAGGCATCTGGGCAAACAGCCCCTACACTCCACCAAATCTGACCTCTGAGTGATGATGTCATGTCCACCATACACCGCCAACCATGACGGATGATGTAATCATACTTACACTATTGATCTGTCCCATGTCAAAATATTCTTCTGGTTTCTGTTTTTTAAAAGCCAGTACTGTCACCAATTTTTAAAATGCACAGTTGTTTGAAATCAGTAAATAAGTTTACATGTTTTTAATGTAGTCTTGCCGTTATGTATTTTACATTGTATTGTAATGATATCAAAAACAAAAATTTTTTTTATAGAGGTTGCTGGTCTCAGGAGGTAGAGAAAACATCTTCCACACTCCAGTGATCTTTCTTTACATAGTAAATCGCTTGGACTGAGTATGTTTCAGTGTTGTTGTGAGGCCAAAGGTGTCTTGTATGGAGGGTGTTTTTATGTCTGGTGATGTGGCGTCATGGGATGGAATAACTTGTATTGAATGTTTGTTGGGGGGAGGTGAGAGGAGAAAAATACCTTGTATTGTCCTTTTAAAAAAGGCTTTGCAGGCCTCACAAGAGGCCACCCCATAGTGATACCCCGAGGCTATATCTCCACAGACCAGGCACAGCCTCTTGGGGAGGGAGTTCAACATGTATTCGCACTTTATGGACGAGTCCTCCATGATGGTGCTGGAGCAGTCGTCATAGCGCTTGCGGCAGGTGCCGGCCCCGAGCCCGCCGGGGGTGAACATAGGTGGAGAGTCCAGGCCGTTAGAGTGGCTGTTCATGGTGCTGACATAGCCACCGCTGGCATCAGAGTTGCCGCTGGGGCTGTGGTGGCTGACCGTATCGATGACCGAGGAGGGACTGGATGGCTCCGTCTTGATGTAGGACCCACAACTGGAGGGTAGGTGCCGGTCATCAGCGGCCATTCTATTTAGCAGCCTGTGGGAGGTATGGGGTGAGAGAGTTGGGAAGTTGGGGAGTTGGGGAGAGGGTTGATGGGAAAGGGAGGAGGATAAGAGGAAGATGATTAGTATAGTTCTTCAGAGAGCAGAAATGAATCTCATCAACCAGTGGAATGACATAAAAGCCTAAACAGCAAAATACTTGATTGTACTTGAAGTATTAAAATAATTATGTGGCAATTCATGACAATTACGACACAATGCTGAGGTCTGTTTTTCAAGCTACACACCACGGCAGCTGCAAAAGCGCTTCAGTGTACAAATACACAAAACTACAACATGCTCGTCCAAACACAGGTGCCACATGCCCATACAACACAACCAAAAAGTAGGGAACGTGAAAGAACAAGACAAAGACGAAGAGAGAGGGAGAGAGAGAAAGAGAAAGAGAGAGAGCTCTCAAATAACTTAACACGAATGCGCACACACACACAAACAGAGCACATCAAGTCAGGAGCATCTCCATAGTTTAGAGAGAGTGGACCTTGGCTTGTCTCCTTGAGTCAGCAGTCAACCAAAAACAAACATGATGGCAAGATATTGACTTTTTCACTGTCTGCCTAATAACTGCATTTTGGAGTACATGCAATATGATGCTAACATGTGCAGACTAAAGTGCAGCCCTTTGGCTGTGGCCACAAAATGCACTCTGAAGCCTTCCTTCCCCACATAAATCTATTTCAGTCCCACTCTATAACCTTTAACTTGAAATGGCACTGGGAAACAATGGGGGAAAAATCGTAGCCTGAACATGGTCATGTTTTTTAGTCCGCAAATATAGTGAACTAAAGAGGTGGACTGGTAGAGGAGATGGATAACTCAATGTATTGGGGATGCAGTGTAGACATAGTGACCTCTTAGGGTCAAGGCGAGGTCACACACTTACATACACACACACCCCTTTGCATTAGGTACCACGGAAGGGGTGAAAGGTCACCTGCACTTGCCTGCATTAACAAAATTGAGCCTTGCATGGCTTATGCAAATTTAGACACAGGGGCTCCTAGTGAGTGGCAGCTAGACAGCCCAAGTTGTGCCTTAGCACATTAGTTCCATTAGCATATTGCCAACTAATGGTAATGTTTACATATTTGACATGTCAGTTTACCATCAGTGTGGCGAGAGGGGGGTGTCTGCCTGATTGGACGATAGCTGTCTGTCTCAGAGTGCTTCAGAGGAAACAGGAAACGAGAGGCCTCCACTATGTCCCCTATCGGTTGGCTGGACTGCCTCTTGCTCTCTGAGGCTGATTTAATTGTGAGGGTGGGTGACGGAGGGGTTTGGGCCCAGGGGTCAGTGGGTCAACCTTATTTTCTCACCCTAGCTTCCTGGGCCCTTGGAGATGGGGGTCAGCGTGTCAAATTAAATCTCATTCCCAGGTTTCCCTCCCTGCTGTCATGTATATTCATTGGAGCTCCAGGTGCCTACCACTTCTGGAAATTCACAAAAAGGTTAACTGCTAAAATAAATAATAAAAAATGCCCCCTGTTAAAACCGTTGACCTTGTGGAATAAGCCCTTTGTCTGAGCACTCCTGGAATTCTTCTTGCAATATCAAGCCTTCACTATAAACTGAGAAAATGCTGCCCAATTTACAGTTTTTCTTTCAGCTACTCTTAATTAAAACAATGCAAAAAGTACATTCAATACTACTGTTACTGCGCAGTGGGGGCAGTTATTCAGACTTGCTGTTTTAAAAATGATCCACTTGTACTCTTAAATGCCCTTGCAGACAGAAATTGAAAAAGTGAATCCATTTCATGCCTTTCTAAAATAGAACTTGCCGCTCTTGATAATGAATGCAGATTGCATCTCCATAAATTAATGCACGGCTCTGTGTTCATCTGCTTTATGTTCTCTGTTTCAGATGGATATGTGCACCTGTGCGATGGGGCACCTGCACTTGGCTTATTAAAGGCTATATATTAAAACGCAGGAGCACAAGATGGCTCCATTTAGCTTTTATTTCACAAATTCAGAGTAAGCTTAACCCCGGTTCAAAGGCCATCTTCAGGGTGACACTTAGCATAATTGCATAAGTGTCTTAACTGTTTCCCCTCCAGCTCAATGTGGTCATTTATAATAAATGTGCTGGCTAGAATCCCCTTAACTCATTCTGCTATGACACATTATACCACTGCTATGCTTATGTTTTTAACAAGGCTGCATATATTGATTAATGATACTGAGGGAATACTAACCACTTGAACCTGGCGTATTAATCAAACAGTCTAAAATATTTCTATAAATATTAGTAATCTCTAATGGGACAGGTCCAATTTAAATCTATAAATATCATTGTATGGGAAAATGAATTATGAACATTAAATAGTTTGACAGCAGCAATAGTTGTAATAAATAATTCAATATGTGGGGCAGGTGCTAATTAGCTTGTGTGCTACACAGACAGAGCAGACAGGAAAGGGTCTGCTGAACTAACTGAGGCTTGATGTTATAAAATCTATAGTTCTGTCTTACTTCCTTCCTCAAGGTAAGAGCATTTCAAATTCTGCTGCCTGGCTGCCCAAAGGAGCAGTGCTCGTCTAAGATACAGTATCTCTCCCCCTCTCCTTTTCTCTCTCTGTTCCTCCTCCTTTTGTTCCCTTTGTACCGATCAAAATTCATGCTGAGTAGTGGGTTATGGACCCGCAAACGCACACTGCGCAGTTTGGTTTTAATCTGATTCCACCTGGCCCCCCTAACAGCATTTCAGATCCCTAATATCATTCCACTGGTGCTGCTGTGACCAGGATTAGCTGGCCTAATGATCTGGCAGCTCGTCTCACACTCACTGTTCCTCGACTTCCGAGAGCAGAACCGAGGAGCGCTCGTTCTCTCACGTCTCAACACTTCCCTCGCCTGCAAGCAAAACTCTGAACATTGGATGACACTGACGTAAGAACGCAGAACATTCAGGATCTAATTGAGCCAATTTGTAAGTATTCCTGCTGAGAGCTTCCTGCTCACTTCAGGCGGAAACTGACATCCTCCGCTGTTCTCTGGGTGACTATAGCTCTCTTCCTGTTTCACGTGTAAATCACAAGAACACAGCACAAACTAAAGGCTCAACTCAAACTGTGAGTAAATTCTTGATGTCCTTTTCACTCTCAAGGCCACCAGATGCCAAAAACACAATTTTATAACATTTGCTAACCTCATCCCGGAGTGTCACATCCTTGCTACCTGATCAGACTGGGTAAGTGGAGGGGAAGGGGTGGGTGGTGAAGGTGGGGGTTGACATCTGCAGGCAGGGCGATGGTGATATCAGATGCCCCGGTAGGGGCAGATCTGTCTGGAGGGCCCCAGGCGATGTGGCCTGATAAGCCACTGGCCCCAGAGTCAGCTCTGGTAGGACGAACTCAATTAGCTCCTGACAGACCTCCTCTCAGCCCGGCTCAGCCTCCCCGCCACAGCCAGAACCCACTGGCAGCTGCCACGGTGACCTCTCCTCCAGGGGCCACTGCCACCTTTTACCGCTCCAACACACAGCCAGGGATTCATTTTTGGGAGAGCGGACACCACGCTGAAATTCTGCACAGCCCGACTAAAGTCACAGAAATACATGCAGGAGTGTGTATGCCACCAAGGGTGCACGGTGTGTGTTCTCGTGGGGGAAAATGTAAATGAAAAAGGACTGGGGCTCAGGGAGGGGTTGGGGTGGCCCTTGGGAGAAAGGACAGGAATGGAGATTCCAAAACACACTTAGTTGAAATATGGAGGACGCCTTTCTGTCTAACTGGTTCCAGGTTAATGACCATCAGGGGAATAAGGGGCCAAAAGACTCTTGGGGCAATGTGCATGTGCATCTGTGCTCATAGGTCTGAGTGTGTGTTTGTGTTGCAGACAGAATATGAAAGATGGAAATATGACAGGGAGCGAGGTGGGGGGGTGGGGTGGGGGTTGGTTGACGACTGTGGTTTGGTTGGAGGCAAGCCCGGCACTCCATAGGGACCCATTCTAATCTATGAGGGAGAGGCCCCTAATTTTGGAGTTTCTTATTCATTAGTCCTGCTCTGGCAGAGAGAGGAGGAAGCGGAGGGGGTAGACCTGAAGGGAGGGGAGGGGGCTCTTTATTAACGGATATGCCAGACACTCAGGAGAAGCTGACAGAGATTTATGATGTGCAGATCTATGGAGGCAAACAAAAGGGAAGTCGAGGAGACAGAAAAACAGGAAAAGACAAAGTAAGCGATACATGAGGGGAAGGGAGAGAAGAGACAGAGAGAGAGCTGTGTTTATCGTACCAATGGAGAGTGAGGGCCCCGGATCAATAGTCCGTAGGCTAGGGGCTCGTGCAGGGTTACCACTGGGGGGGACCGTGCTGCTCTGTGGCCTGGGCAATTAAGTTTTTCAGTCTCCAGCAGAGGATTATATTTAGCTGCTCCAAAGCGATGTCACTGTAGTCTTTATAAAGCCATGAGCTCACTCCACTACGACAACATGAGCCCCATGCTCCAGCGGCACCACAAGATAGCGCTGGCCAAGAAGCAGATCACATCTATTGATCCCCCCTCTTGCTCCTTCCTGTTCTAGAGATGCTGCTGGCAGGAAAGAGAGGGCCTCTTGTGATACAGGCGCTGCTGTTTGTCTGACGTAAACTGTCTGGGCCGCACTGGGCAGATCTAATTCGTATAAGGGGCTGAGTTCAGGATGTTGAGAGAAGCAAATGGCTAATGATAGAGCTACTGTCAGTGGGGGATGTGAGAGAGTTGACGGTTGTCTAAAGTTCCCGCTATGGAGAGCAAAGAGTTAACAATGGTATATGCAGACCCAGTGGGGAAGCTCCCTACAGAATTGGACAGCTCATCATACTGTATGTAAGAAAGAAGTTCAGTGATAAGTCTAGCCTGCCGTGCAGTACATTAGGGATCAAATTTCTAATTCTGCCTTTTCATTAGAAAAGATTAGTTTCCATTACATCCATTATGTGGCACAGCCATGGTATAATTTAACAACATACATTTACAATGGCTCATGATAAGTAGTAAATTATAGTCCACTACTGGCAAAAATCACCCTTAAAAACAGTTTGTGATTATCAACGTTTTGTATATCAAAAGTCCCCTCCAAAGACGACTGGTGCACTTAATGACATCAGACACCACCTGGTGTTGTGTGATACATTACTGATACACTGGCACCAATATCACAATACACTCTCCTGCAATACTCAATCTTAAATCTGCTTCAGTCTAAACTATTCTGCTTTATGACAGTTCAGCTCTGTTTAACATTTGAATGATGGAACATGTGAATGTGCGTTACTAAAAAGACACAATTATATAAATATAATAATACATAAAAATAAATACACTATCAGTTCCTCTTCAGTTACACAGATGCTGTGATGTAAATTAATGTTTCACAAGATATTGTTTATCAAAGTATCTCCTGCATCATGAAGCTATCATCCGTGTACCCTGACAGTATATCATGAGTCACGCTGTGATTCTCGGGCAGTCATAAACAGTGGGATTTTCCTAGAATTTATGTGTTTAATATAATATTATAATGAAGCAATAATGTCAGAGTAAAAGATTCAAAGATTCAGTCAGATGTAAATTTCAACACCCTTGCTAAAACAGTAGCATGTTAATATGCCCCCAAATAATTGACCTGTCCGGACTAATATTGTCGGAATAAGTCATAAAAAATTCTGTTTTATGCTACAAAAGCCTTTTACGTCTAGGTTTTGTTTAACTGCCATAAATTATGTGGAAAGCCAGCAGATATCAACCACAGCACACCTCTCACGTACTCTCAGTAAGGTTCCTCATGTAAAATAAAGAGGGGGATTATAAAATATGAATGATGGAAACTTGAGCAAAAAAATGTAAAATGAGTGCAAGTCATGCATCGCTGTTCGCTGTCTTGATATTTGTGGAACAAACTGTCAAAAAATGATATCCAAGACACTGGTTAATTTTATCAGAGAGGCAAAGGATACTCCTGATTGTGTTGCATTTTGTTTTGTGATTGTTTTTTGCAATGTGTGTGTGTGTGTGTGTGTGAGAATGTGCGTGTATCACAAACGAAAAGAAATATTATTATAAAGGGTTAAGGCTATTTAACACAGTCCAGTGTAAATCACAGGTTTAGACACAGTGACTGTGCGTACAGGAGGACGGAGGCATAGAGCCATGCATGAAATTACTTCATTAATCTTCTTCTGATAGGCCATCCTTGTTTGGGGGGAACTCTACCTGCTCAAAACAAAGAGCCCATCCTGCCTCCATCATAAATTTTCCCCTTCCTGAGAAAAACGGACAAATACAAACAGACAAATACACGTGCAAGCACATGCACAAACATGCACAGATATACAAGGCAAAATTAACAGGCCAAAAATTAGCAGGTCTATCAGCTGTCCAGAATCATTTAAACGCAATCAGATGTGTAAATATTTGCACAGGTTCAGTCAGTGTGTAATCACGGCACATACTGTAGGTAAGATTAAAATAACATGCATAATACAACATGATCATCATTTCAAAAATTTTGACTTGATTTCTACCATTTAAACTGTTGTTTGTAGCACACAATTCAAACAGTTCCACACTGAATTGACACTGCTTCAAAACACTATTGCTATGACTGTCTGCCACAGCAGCAGACATAGTCATAGCAATAGCCTCTAGCTTTTTACAGGCTCATCTCTACCAGCTGCCACACATTCCCCATAAATAGTGCTGGTAATAAAAAGGCGGGTGGGCCTAACTGATTTATACGGTAGTGTCCACCACCACACCATTCAGGAATAATTAAACTTTGGGGATATTTCCTGAATTAATGTGTCTCCTTCAGGGGGCAATCTAAACATACACTTCAGCGTTCACCACGTCTGGTGTCACCGGACGTACTGGGAAGGGAGGGGACTCTCCAAGTGGCAGGTTCAACAACCAGCCACTCAATGTGACCATTCGATTGCACTTAGCGCTGCTGGGGTGGGTCTCATAAGGAGGCATTTTAATGTGAATATGTTTTGTGACCAACAGGCAAATACACACATACTGTAAGCACACAGTTGTTTAGCTTGAAGGCAGACAAGAAGCACACACACACACACACACACTCTCTCTCTCTCTCTCTTTTACACTTACAAAACTGTCAGTTATCAGATGAAATTATTGTTGTAAAAAAGATTTTTTTATGAGAAATGATGCAAATGTAACTGAGAGCCATAATCTAGCCCGATATTTAGATTAAATTCCTATTTAATTTTACTTGGCGTCACTGAAATGATTTGGAGGGAGGATAGTTATTTAGAGGCTAAATCAAAATCTGATTTAAGCTGGGATGGAGGCAACATCAGTTTAAACAAATAATCAGTTTAAACAAATAATTAAAATAAAAAGGAAAAGTTTGTTGGAAGAGTTATATACCGTTAGTTCATTGGTAATTCTGTGACCTATGAGGAAACTGAAAGGCCTTTGCAAAGCTGATTAAATGCTTTTTTCACACAGAAATATTTATTAATTATGTTGAGTTTTGTACACCATTCAGTTATGATGTCTAGAAACAGGATTTTAACATAATTTAATTTTCAAGTCACTTAAGAATTCAAATGAAAGGGTTTTGTTCTTTCTGTAACATGAGCATATTTGTCATGAGTCAAGAGAACAAATACGTCAATAAAAATTCCTGTGCACAGACAAACTAGGCCTACAGTGGCTGGCTTTTTGCACACTGCCATGTTAATGGCTGGTTATTGGTCACATCTACTTCCCTTGGGCAAATCAGGGATGAGCGATAATAGTACTCTCTCTCTGGAAGTATGAAAACTGCATTAAACCTTTTCATTTAACAGTATTCCACAGCTGATGATGTCCCACAGTTTTCCTTCAAACTACGGACTGTGTGTGTTTTAACATATGAGCCTGAAACATTTAATCACAACTTTCCAAATAGTCATGAGAAAAAAAAAAAGTGCTTGTTCTAAAAGCTGTAATGGGTGCAAGGCTCACGCCGACCATGTAGAGAAGACTTGGTGAAGCTGTCAGTGGGAATCAGAGCTGCTACTGTGACGGACGGTTTCAATATTGATTTCATAAATAAACAAAGCTAAGCATCGATCCTAATGTTATTTTGCATTTCAATTACTGCTCCGAAACATAACCTTCAAACAACTGGACGTTCAATACCAATAGCCTTCACTGATAAACACCCATATAGTTACCCACCTTGCATCACATTTTTTTTACTAAGTGTGAAATACTGGACCTAGAATTTTCCCTCCTCTACATTCAGGGTGGTTGAAAAGCAGCAACATTGTAATATGCATTTACACCTACAGGGATATATGTCTCTAATAAATACTAATGGAAAGAACCATATGAAACATGGCAGACATGACAGAAAACTTCAGGTTTTCTTTTAACTAATTTACCACTCTATTTCTTTCAGTATTTTTTCAAGGGTGTTAGTATAAAATTAGCTCTTTTCGTGACTCAGTTATTTTTAATTTTTTTTTCTCAACTTCCGTGTTCTAGTGTGTGTGTGTGTGTGTATAAATGAGGAGGAGCCCTTCAATGTTGAAGCAACAGGAAGAAGTGCTGACGCACCGTGTCAGTGATAGCACTCTGCTGCCACAAGGGCATGAGAGCCCACGTAGGCTAGCATTATCCTTCTAGACTAATGGACCTGGTTATTTTTAAACAGATTCTCACACTGCGGTGGAGGTGTCCAAGGTTACAATGGATGAGAAATCAGGAGGGACGCGTGCGGTGACGGTTGGTGGTTTCTGTGCGGGTGGGTGTTGTGAAATAGCCAAAGAGGCATGGTAGTGCTAATCAGTGAGGGATAAAGGCCAAATATCAGGTGGGGTCTCTAGAGACAGCATGTTATATTAACAGTAACATCTTCTTAAATTGTCCAATAATATAAAAAAATAAAAACACTGTTTTATGCCAAGAAAAAGTTCACTTGCAATATTACCTTTTTGACAAAAAATTTTATGTACAGTATTAAATAGAGTGCACTAGAATCCAGATGGATAAATATAAAGGAAAAGAGGTCAGGTTTCAGAATAGAACCAGTCTGGATATTGTATGCTTTTGCATGCTCTTATTTTCTCAATTAACTGCCTGGGGAATAAAGCACCACTACAAATGAATGGGTGAGTTTAATGTGGCAGCTCCTTAAAAGCCAGTCTAACCGCTAACAAGTATGAACCCGAATACCTCTGAAGCTACAGAACATGGAACATCCAGAGAGTGACAATATACTCTGCATCCCCATTTGGCCTGGAGAGGGACAACATGCTCCACCCTCCCCCCGCTCAGCCTGAGCTGAGTGACATATTTACAGTGAAAGTAATGATACTAGATACCAGAAATGAGAGGGCTCCAGCGTGGCCAGTGGACTCAGGAATCTCTCTAATGAATTGGACAACAAAGCCCTGTTGGTACAAGGAAGAAGTATTTAGAATTGGGTGACAAACTGAATTTTAAAACATTAGGTCTTCTTTAAAAAGGCACATATCCCAACACCTCCTAAAAGCTCAGGGAGACGAGGAGGTTGGGAGTGGGGCAGGTGGGTTGACTGGTCAGCTGGGCTGGATGCTGCAGCTACAGAGGCCACCAGCTCCTGGCTCATAGCGGGGGTGGCCATTCTCGGCCAGGAGCCTCTTCTGGTAATGTATTCTGAAACCAAATTACCGTAAGCTGATCCCATCTGGATAGTGTCTGTGCACGGCTGCTTTGGTTACCCACCACTGCCTCTAGCCTGCGATAGCATCTCCATGAAGACAGCAAAAATCTGATTAACCCAATAACAATGAAACACTTGGTCAAAGAGCAAAGAGCTTTTAACTTAAGATACACTAATGCAATTCCCTCGCCTTGTTTTCTGAAACCTAATAAGAATCAAGCGGACGGACTGCTACAGATGGGTGTTTGGAGGCTCTAATGCAGCAAGCTGGGAATGAAGTCAAATAAATTGAAATCTAATTCATCATTGTGTGCTAACTTCTTTCTGCTTCTCTAAAAAATACATTAAAAAGCTTTTATTTCATGAAGGGAAATTGGATAGCCTTGTTAGTTTATAGCAGTGGCTCTGCCAGGGCTTAAGGAAAGCGAGGGTGTTGATGGAACATTTAGAAGCAGAAAGAAGTCACATCTCAATTCACTCCCGCTCAGACTGTGTGTGTTTTCTAGCAAGCACTGAGGGACTCAAACTGACAATCCTCAGCATTGGCTGACTTCTGAGTGGCGCGAACTGCCACTGCAATACAAGATCAACAACAAGCCTGTCAGACTCATACAGTGAATCGCTCGTCTCACTCCATGAGCCAACAGATATTTAGACTCGAACAAGTCAAGCAAAAGTAAATAACAGGTCGAGTATGACGGGCTGCATATCAATGGCAACGCCAATTTTGAGCAAATACATATCACAGAGAATAAAACTTCCAGTAAAACCTGAGTACTTGGTAATAACTTCCCTGCGCTCACATTTCTAAATATCGTGTGCAAAGAGACAAGAGGAGCGTCTTTCTATTCTGAGGGCAAAGCTCTGTTTCCATCTAGTTCCCAGGCAGTGGCGATGCCCTCGGGTCAATCTATGAAGTGTATTACTACAGTGATTCCACAACAGTGCTGTGCTAATTACATGGAGCACATACGTCCCACTAATCCTCTCAACCAGGCATCACGGCCACATGCAGCCCACAGTGAGGGGCTGCAAATACCGCTGTACAATGAGCAGAAGAGGGCCACTGCACACTCAGGCCAATGCTGGAGAGATGCCACAAATAAAGAAATGTTGGTGGGTGGACATGTAATCAGGAAAATCTAAATTTACTAAAATCATTTTTACATGTTGTGACAGATTTTTACCTTACAAGAAACTATTATTACATCCACAAAAACAATTTCTTAACACATCAACAGTATATCACTGAAGTTATTAATAGATCAAACACCTGTTCACAACTCAGCTTTGAAGGAGTAAATGCTCTTTTCACCATTATTTGAAATGTTAATGTTATCTATAGTAATCAAATATATGAACATGGCAAAAATGCAACTGCTGACTTGTGTCGAGTGTCATTAAATATTAACCGGTATTTTCTTTTATTATATACACATTCCAAACTAATGCACACCAACAACACTAAATCTCTAATAATATTACAATCTGTCAATGTGTAACTGTATTTTTTTAAATAACAATTTAACAAACATGAACATTAATTGCAATGTATTACTGGAAAATATTTAGCATTTACAAATTTAGTAACTTATTATTTTACATTTGATAGACTATAATATTTGAGTGCAAAAGAAAAATATTAAAATACAAAACAATACAATACAGATTACCTGAAAGGAGACAAAGTCAAATAAAGTCAACTGAAAACATTTTAAACAAATCATTTCCAACAATAACTCAAATGTTTCTCCATGTTGCAATGTGCATGATTCAAAATGTGTCTAAAGGGGATTTGCAGGGAAGATAAATTGAAAATTAAAATAGTTAATTACTAGTATAATTTTAAAATATACATATATTGTTGTGGGGTTTAAAGCTCTACTTAAAATCTAAATATTAATTATAAGTAGTTTTGCCTTCAATTTTAGGGAATACTTTCAGAGAATGCTACAATGAGAATTACAAATACACATTACATATAATACCTGATGTGTTACAGAAATACCCATTCTACTCCTGCTGTTTGTGTGATTTTATATTGAGGTGTGTCTGAGAGAGAAGTGAAACCAGATAATCCGTTTTAGAGGAAGAACTAAGGAGATTAGTCCACGTATGTCTAAGATATTAATATGATTTCTAGAATTACTTTTTGAATTTGCAGTGATTACAGCCCAAAGTAAAGAATATCTGTAAACAAATGGGTCAGGTAAAGAAATAAACAACAGAATTCAGCTCGTTAACTTTACACGTGATGGTTTTCTGTTAAGTATTTTCACTCCATGTATTCCTTTAAAATAGAATGAATTAAGAAAAAACAAACTCCTTAATTATGCTATGATTAAATAATGTTCGGTACATAAAAAGTTACAAGAAAACAACATTATGGGAAATGATAAAAATGCACAATGTAAGTTGGACTGTTCTACACATTTTTCAAGAAACAATAAAATAAAAAATGTCTGAATGCACTGAGGTGTCAGTAACAGGTAACTGAAATATCTTTGCACACCTGATTGGTCTTCCTCAAATCACAAACACAACTTTTGCATAAATACTACATTAGCAGTAAATTCTATTGAAAAGATTAGATGATATAAAAATGATCTGTAAATTGAAACAAATCTTTTGGATTAAAAGTCCAACGTTTTTGTCTGTGTTTTTCATACATTAACAGGGATGTTCTGAAGTAAATGCATAAATATTATACCATATAACTTTTCCAATAAATAAATAACAAAAAAATAAAACACCAAATAAATATTTTTCCCAACTTAAGAGCTTATTAAGTTTATTTTGTAACAAATGTAAGTTAGGGATGGAAAGTTAAAGTGTGGTAGGTAGTGTGAGCTCAGACTGTCCCAGCAGCCAGGAGCTGTTCCACAGCAGCTTGCCTCGCGTGCCGCTGGCTGGGACAGACCTGCCAGCTCACTGAGGTTACAGGGTCCTTTCATTCGTCTTTCTCTGGCTACAAATATTACAGTGTGTCATTTATCCCCTCCAATTCCACGGATTCACGTTAATCTCATCTCCTTAAAATATTATTCTCATTCTCCCTGGGCAGCCTAATCTAGGAACAAAGCCATCAGCAAACAACCTCCTAACCCAACTGGACAGGTACCCCAAATTCTTTAGGAAAAAAAAAAAATACACAGTTTGCAGAGGGGCAAGCTAAATCAATCAGCCATGCTCTGAATGAAATTTATAAAGATTAGCATACATGATGTGCTCTCACAATAAATCTACACACACATACGCAGTTGCACCTGCCCTGTTGCTCTATACTGTCAAGTCCTACATGATTTAAGAGCCCTTAAAACAATGAACAAGAGAAAGTGCATGTTTAAGAGTAGGTGTGAGAGGGAAAGTACATCACTGCTAAAACAAGAAAAAGTTCAGTGCCTATTAGACTAGTAGGGTTCAAGAAACAAAACTAGAGCAGACACTGTTAAAGGAGTGAATGAGGATTAAAATAAAGAATGAGGGGGGAAAAAGGAGAAAAGAAAGACAGGGAAGAAATAAAAAGTGCATCACAGCAGAGGGGTTAACAGGAAAAGTGAAAGAAGGAAATAAAGAAACGAGGTGCACCTACTGGTTATGATAGCTGAGAGGGTCTGGAAGACAAAGTTCTGAAATGTCCATCAGTCCAGTTTTAGCATTCCAGGAATGAGAGGAAGAGGAAAGAGAAAACAATTGAGACCCGCTTCTTCCCCAAATGATAGCACAGCACCCTCAGAGACAACGCAGCCGAAAAACCCCCTCCAGCACCGCGGCCCCCAGCCTGCACAGGTATGCTGGACTCTGATGGATTGAGTGGGCGCGTGTGTGCGTGAGCATGTGTGTTGCGTGTGTGTGTGTTTATGTATATATGTGTGGGAGAGAGAGAAAGTGTCTGAGTGTATGTAAGTGAATGTGTGTGTGTGTGTGTATGAGAGAGAGAGGGAGAGAGAGGCTGAAGGGGGGAGGGACAGATAGACGAGAGAGGTAAAGGGGGGTGAGAGAGAGAGAGAAGCGCGGGCAGCAGCGGGATGAGCGCTAAGATGGAGAGAGCATGAGAGCGCGAGCGAGAGGAATGACTCTTTCCATGGTCGGGATAGGGCTCTTTAAGACTCAAGGGCTTGATGAATATGGAACAGCTGCTGTTGGCTGGCTCCGAGGGGCCGGACTTAAAGCGACAGAGGGGCCGGCAGAGCACCGAGGAGGAGGGATCCAAACGCTCACTCGCACACTCCGCTGTGCACAAGTACAACACACACATACACGCCACACATGGCTCACACACACATAGACAAAACAACCTATCAGATGAACAACAGAGATGCAACCAGGAGAACAGTCAACACACAAAGTCTCCAACTCAATTAGATTTAAAAAAGAAGAAAAAGAAAAAAGAGTTCTGGATGCTCGAAACTCAAATTCAAGCCTAACTGATGGAAATAAACAGAAGTAGGACATTGTCTGTATCAGTGCATGCACCTTTAATATAATATAATATTTAAGCTTTATTTAAGCTTGATTTCTTTATTTCTGTCGTGACATGTAAAAAATGCAACATTTATTATATTAGTAAGGTATTAGTAAGTAAACTGTAATAGTAAAAGAAAACTATCTTTACATTTTGTATTACATTTTGAAATCTGTATTTCATGAATTTACAAAAAAAGCTTTTACTTTCTTGTTTGCATGTCTGCATTAAAGTGCATTGCAATGATATCAAACAAAGGTAAAGCAATCACGCGACAACAACAGAGAACTTTACCAACCAGCTGACATTTCAGAACTTGACTATGGCACCAAAAAAACCTCCACTCCATGCATTTTTAAGATATCAAAATGTACCGTTATATAACACACCATAAAGTTAAACCTGACACCAGCCTTGGCCACACTATAGAAACTCCCGCAAGCAGTCGAGTGCATCTGCAGCACTTCACTTTCAAAAAGCAATAGCTTTCAAACCACTAAGGACAGTAAATGTATTTATTGAGCTGTGTCGCTAGCTCCATTTGCCAGTGTTACATGTGAGGTACCATTGTGAAACCTTTCACCACCTGCGAGAGATGATCTCAAGCCATAACTCATATTCTGGAAGCCCATCAGCTTCTAAAGCGGCGGAAAATCCAGCTCTGTCTTCTCTAACCCCAGCTTTAGAACCGCCTGTGTTTCACTGTTGATCAAGCTCAGTAAGAATGCAGAGAATGCAGATACCATTTCACAGTCAGTGAGGGTCTCCATGTTACTGTATCCCCACATTATAAGAACAGAGCTTACCATGGCATCTTATTGGAGAAAGAGCAGTCCGACAATGGCTGGAACTTGGCTGAGTCAAGCAGAAAGAAACAGCAGCTTGCCCTCTTCTTTAAGGTGCCTGACAACGGTCTTCAGCTACTTCAGTACAAATAAGAGTGGGTGAGGAGGAGTCGAGATCTACCGGCAGATTGGTACAGAAAGGTGTGTTAGGTCGCTCTGCTGCTCTCCAGTCTTCTCTGCTGAACAGGAACAGTATAACCCTTGGAGAGGAATCCAGTTCCATTCATCGGCTCACGTTTCTATAATCAATGCAAAAACATCACGCAATCCCTATTGATCATCACAGGCCTATTGATGTGCAGCAATAGTGCCTCCACAGTGGCACAGATCACACAGCATCTGGTCTCCTTTTGTGGCAAAAACAAATGACTAAATAAATGAAAATCCAATTAAGATTGATGCCAAATCAAACACCTGTCAGTTCAATTCCTTAAAGAGGAATGAATTCACTATCAAACCGAGTTCTCAGACTTCTGACACTGAACAAAATACGGGACAAAAAGAAAACAACATATCTGTACACCTCACAAGGCACACACAAGACAGAATGTGCTCTGTATATTGTACCTCATTACTGATTAGAATTATAATCTGATTTTAAATTCAATGTGTTCAATTGTCAGCTGTTTATTCTGGTTGTGGCACTCCAAGGGATCTCTTTTGGGGATGTAAAAAAGAACAATAGCTTAGTTAAAGAAACCAAAACTGTCAAAATAATACTCCATTATGAGTCAAATCACTGCACAAAACATTCTAGTCGTGAGATCCAGCATGGTTTAAGTCAAGAGACCTAGATACTACTCGTCAGAGAATCACAAGCGGGGGTACTTCCCCATGACAGACTGTAATATCACCCTGGTATCTAACCTGCGTACACTCTTTCATATTTGTAACTGCCTTCACTTGATAAATCACATTCCTGCATATTTTCCTTTTGGCCTCCCAAGGTTTTTTCGACTGACACCACACAGACTTTTGTCACGCAGTGTGAGCTATGAAAGCCCTGCTGCTGCTGCTATCGTTGCTTCTTATCAGCTCTGTTATGAAAAAAATAATAATAATCACGGCGTGTGACAGTTGATTTGACAGGAAGGGATCTGATACAAATAAAGAATAGAGCTGCACTAGGCAAACACTCGATCACACATGGCATGACAAAGTTA